GGTTTCTGAATAACTCTTTGGCCAGTGGTCAATAAAGATAATGTTTGATATTGTCAGTCCGCTTGCGTGGCTGTGTGTTCCAAAAGAAAGCCCAATCTCAGCCGTGTGACCAAAATTGGGTAACATCTCAATGGGGTTGGCGAGTCTGCCGTCAGCTCAGGTCTTCGGAGTCAAAGTTGCAGTGTCTCTGGTCAAAATTAATCCAAGGGCTCCAAATTCATATCTTGACGACGAGGGGAGAAGGTCTCCACGATGTGGTGATGCAGCGTGTATAGCTTTCCAAGCATATTTGTCTGGTCTGCACAAGCTCTTGAACCTGGCACATTCACCGACGGAAAAAGTGTAGGGATAGTCTCTTTCGGGGTCTCTCAATGCAGAGCCCATCGGAATTGTTAGACTCGGCGGTTTCGGATCTGTATCGAAGTCGCGGATCCTAGCATGCTTGAGGGGGCTCTTCAAGGATGGGGAAGGCATTGCTGTTGAATATGGCCAGTCCTGCTGATCAGGGACATTGTCACCATTCCAAAAAATTCGTTAGCGGTGATTGTCCATTGTTGATTTCCCCCCAGACAATCATTCTCCAACGCCGTCTCTGCTTGCTCTGCAAATTCATCTGGAGCAGCATTGTGGAATTCATTTTGATCAAACCACTCTGCAGTGTCGAGGGAGTTCCCTCTCTTAAGTAAAAGTCGTCGAGAATCCTGCTCAGTTCTTCAGGCAAACCATGGACCGTGAAATCAAAGGTGAGACTCACTAAGGAGTCCCATAGGGTACAGAGATTGGATTGAAATCTTCGAGGGGTCGAAAGAAAAAAGGGCGACGAGCGGCGCAGATATTAACGGTGTCCCGAGTATCGTGCAAGAAGCGTAAACTGCGCGACTGCGCGACCGCGCGACCGCGCAACCAACACCGGAAGCTTTGGTCCCAAAAAAGAAAGTAGGCCGATTGCGGTGTCTTGGCGGTAAAGGACGCTCTTTTGCTAATTGCGCCGTGGTTGGAAACCCAGTCGAGTGCCAGTCAAGCCTGTCACAAACCCACTCGCAGGCAGTCGCCCTCTCTTCCTCTTCTTCATGAATGCATGTCATTGCCACGGCACGCCTCGATCCTGGTGATAGCTTGCAGTGTCTGGGGCACGACCACCACCACCACCCCGTCTCCAAGCCCAACGAGGCAAGAAGCGAGCATCACCGCAGCCTTTCAGAGGCAGACCGATTCGCGCGTTGTATTGAAGGACCAAGCAATGATAACTCATTGGCCGGAAAGCTGACAATATACCGTACTGTCGGCCCAGCAAGAAGAGAAGGAGATCTGCTCAGGTGGATCTGGAGACGTCCACGATCTCTTGCCACCGCGATATGATACTTTCTTCCAACCGCCAAAGAACGACTGAACAACTGTCCCAGCAGAAAGCCATGTCTTCTGGAGATTCGTTTGAGCTCGAACTGCAGTGAGCCATCGCCGACATTTTTGGTCTCTCCGTGACCCTTCTGACCTCAGATCCAGATACGGAAAGACAGCCATCCGACGATGTTCACCGCGCGGCCCTTCATCCCCCCAAAATCCCCTTTATCCTGTTCCGTCGACATCAACTGCGACGACTCAAGAGCTGGTGCATGTTATTCAGACCAAACCGCGGGAGAATCGTTTGAACACTTCATGCATCCTTAGCACGAGTGTCGCTTTGTCTCTTTGAGATGCGAAATGAAACACTTTCGTCAAATCAAAGCCCGAAACACTAGAACCTCACCACCACACCAAGACGGCACGCTCAATTGCCAAAACGGTAATTGGACAGCTTTTGAGAGACATCAGTCAGAAACTGTCTGAACCCATCCCAACTCGTTGAGTCACAGACCGTTCTCAATCCGCGGCTATGCCGATCAGATCAATCAAAGCACGATTACGAACTGACTCATTTTTGGAAAAAGGGTTTCGCATGAAACTTTGACTTGGCAAAGCCTCACACAAGACACCAAGATCTCGTCCTGCACCACCAGGATGTCCCAGTGTGACAATCAGTCCTCTCCGCTGTCACTTCCGTCACAAGCACATTCTCAGGACTTTTAGAACGTCACTATTTAGTCCAGCGCAGACATTCAGTACAGTTGTGATCTCGTCCACTGCTTCACCAAAGGAAAGCTCGACCATCGACGATATATGGGCCAGGTGGCCGAGCCACTTTTCATTCAGGCTTGTGCCCGATATCGTATAAGTTGCATGCACGCCTCACAAACCCGTGCGGTTGTCCATCTCGACCTCCCTGCCAGTGGAATCTGTCACACGCCTTAGGTCGTCTTGGAATTCCATCGTCCAGGCGCTACATCTTCAGTACAGTCGCATTTCTTCCGTCCATCGTCAACTATACCTGGAAGGTGGTACATGTTCCATGTCAGACGTCGATGCCTCTCCCGAAAGAACCTGACGAATCAGAAAGTGCAAAAAAATGCGGCAGTCTATGTGTCGTCTTTATCAACCGTGAAGACACTGTGCTCGCAAGACATTGTGCTCACAAGACGCCATGCTCCTATGCCAAAATCACCCACTCCAAGCGTCGTTGTCTAGCCAGGCTACACAAATTGATCTGTGGGATGGGACCAGAGTCCAGATGTGGCCTCACCTGTCCGGGAGGACAATGTCACATCACTCTAGTACTATCACTCCCACCTTGGAGCTATACGACAAGGTGCGGAGTGGCGGTAAGCTGCTTAGTCTTATCAAGGGTCTCAGCACGAAGAAAACAATGCCACGAGGCTCACCAGGATAAGGACCCCGACGAGGCGAGCTGATCATACGCCAGAGCACGCAACGAGGCCACGAATGGATTGGGCGAGGGTAAGGATCTGATGGATTGTTTAATCATCGTGTCCCCCCAGGCCGTCGATCCCTCATCTTCGTCCTTCACTTCTCATCTTGCCTCGCCAATTGACAGCGGCTCTTTCAAAACGTCACCTGGAACGCTTACACGGGAGCAGCTGCTCGGCGAGGTTTATCTCATTATCGCGGGTCCTCCCCTGGGAGACTCATGGGTGTCGAATGTTTCGGAGCTCTTTTTTCAGGCGGAACATGGGCCAGCGTGAAATCTCTGACGACGACCTCAAAGGCATGCTCTCGGATGCTCAAGTTCTCGTGGCCGAGCATCGAAGCGAGATTGAAGTATTGAGAGTCTAGCTTCGGACAGCGAACAGGAAAGAGACGACTCTGAGCAACAACCCCCCGCGTCTAAGACAGTGTTATTTCAGGCTGCCGCCAGTGAGGACAGAACAGACACCGAGCCACTCGATCTATGTCGATAAATGAAGGCGTAAGAGGTCGCTCTCGGACGATTTCAAGCGGGACTCGACCGTGCCGTGGAGGCGCAAACTCTCAATCAAGATATTCTTCGCAAGACAAGGCTCGAGCTACTCGAGAAAGAGGAGGTGTTGAAAATGTGAAAGGAAACAGAAGTTTGCGGTAACCATTGAAGATTTCGGCGCGTTTGAAGCAGGCGGCGATGGCTTGCCATCGTTGACCCAACACCCCATGAGAAGGACCAACCAGAGAAAGCCCAATTCTCCCAGCCCGCCATTTGAGCAATTCCACACACTCTCTCAGAGCACGAGGTAACACCGCAGCATGGAATGGCCATTGGGATTTCGGTCATCCAATAAGCTCAAAGTCTTTTGGATTGGCGCTCTCGTCTGCCGGCCGCCAACTCACTTGTCCCAAATGGCCAGCCGCTTTTGCGCCAAAATGCCTTCATGTATGGAGCGCCTCTCGCAAAGGTACCGATCAGTACGTGAACTGGGTCTCTGACCTACGCAGTACCAGTCCTCCTGAAACTGCGTCTCCAAACGACGTCCACCTTGTCCTGCTAATCCTTCGACTCTCACTTCTCTGCTGACTTCCCTAGATCGATACTAGTACACGTGTCTGTCGTGCCGCGCGACCCTTTATCGAATTCCTCGTTTTCTGTCGACACCATACCATACCGATCTCCTGCGCTCTCTCTCGCTCTCTCTCGCTCTCTCTCGCTCTCGCGCGCGCCGTCTCGACCCGCAATGGCCGAGTCGCCTGATCAAATCCCTCCAAATCGTCCGCTTATTCCCCTTGGATCGCTTTTCAGACTTGGACGTGCTAGTCTTTGGGATGGACACTGACAACCGATGGACTCTGGAGAGTCTGGACAAGGCCTTCTCGAAGCAGAAAACGATCCCGCCGCAGTTTTCCTCGACTCTTTCAGTCGAAAAGTTTTCCGTCATGGAGGAAAGGTCATGAAATATGGCAAAGCTGTGAACATTCAAGAGGCGCAAGTACTGCTGTTCATCCGAGAGTCTGGTCTACGTATACCTCTACCGTAGGTTCACACTGCTCGGGAGCGTGGAGATATCGGTTTTATCCAGATGGATTGGGTGGAAGGAGAAACTCTAGAGATTATATGGAGCGACCTCACGAACGAGGAAAAGATCACCTATGCACAGCAATTGAATGAAATCGTGATTCAATTGTGCTCGCTCGAAAGGGAGTTACACCGGATCACTGGAGCAAGACCCGGCAATTGACTCCCGTTGCAATCGGCACAAAGGAGGCCCCTTCTTGACCGAGGCAGCCTTCAACGACTTTTTGCTGAGCAACACCATATCCACCACTCCACCATCTACCGAAAAATGCTGGAAACCCTTCTCTCTGCAATGGAACACAAAATCTTACTCACACGGCGAACTAAAGCCCAACGAAGATCAACGTGAAGGAGGGTCGAGTCGTGTGTATAACCGATCAGGAGAATGTTGGCTAATATCTTGATATACTGGGAATTTTTCCAGTTCTTCAGACCATTGTCCGCCAACTACCGTGACGATGCCGACATAATATTCAATCAACCCTGCCCTGTCGAGCTTATGACAAACCGCTCTTTAGGACACCTGACCCGCCATTGGACTTGAAATCCATCGGAGGCAAGCTCAGCTTGAGCGAAAGCTACAAGACCGTACATGGCTCCCAGAAAAGCGGCGGATACAAGCAACATGGTCAACACGAGCTTCCCGACACTGCCCTTCGTCTTCCGCGTCACAATGACTTCGGCCATCGAGCCGACCGCGTTGGATTTTGGTGTGACTATTGATCCACTGTGCCCCGACCAGACGTCCAATTGCATCTCCGACCCCGGTTTGGCAATTCCACGAATGCGTGCTGTTGTTGATGGGCGTCGCTGTGATTTTGGTGATCACCTGTCGTTTGATTGGGCTATTGGTGGTTGTTCTGACGAGAATCTTCTTGACGAAAGTTCTGCTCTTGGTCGGATTCTCGTTCTGCCGTCTTTCAAACGAAAAAGAGGCCTGCTGTGCCGGCGAGGTGGAGCAGATCACCGGTCCTTCTGCCGCCTTCACTGATGAAGAGAGCGGTGTATCTGGTTTTCTGCAGGTCAACTGGATCCCCTTTATAGAAAATGGTGTGAAGTCGTGGTGCCCATACTCTAATTGGTACAGATGCATCATTGGAAAGCGCAGAGCCAGAATCTCGAAGTCTCTTCCAGTCTCGTTGGATGGTTGAGGGTGAGACTGCTTTGAAGACTTTCCCAGGACGTGACTTGGCCAAGGATTATACCCCATCGTCCGGTCAAGCTCGCAAGGAAGTATGGGTCAGCCGTCAGGACGAGGTCGACGGCGTCAAATCCTCCAATGGACCGTCCACTGCAGGCAGCGGTTGGAGAATCCAACAGTTACCGCCCCATGGAAACCCCCCTGGGTTCGACCTGGGCCACCGTATTATGTAGATACCGTACCACGCACATGCCGTTGTCCGTATCCGTCCAATGCCAACCCCCACATATCACCGACCCCTTCGTCTTGCTTCACATGGGCTTCTGGGCTCTTGGGAAACATAATGGCATTGATCGAATTCGTGATCCTTCAGGACGCCACGATTCCTTAGTGATGAGAGTGTCTTTTGACTTCCCTTGAGACACCGATGCCGCACGCACTATTCTTTCCAAAATTGTGCAGGAACTGAAGGCTGCAGGGGAGCAGGGCTAGATGACATGGCCTACAGGCGTTCAACTAACCACCTATATAAGCCGCGCAGTGACAGGTGATGGGGGGACTCTTGGATTTTTCAAACGAGATTCGGCGCAAGGTCCCCCCTTCACCACATGCTTTCCCAACACAGGCCCGACGCAGGCGGTTCAGAAACCATCGTTGTTAAGGAATTCTCATAGGGCCTGCGGGAGGGCGGGGACTTGGAAGCGAGACAACATTACCTTGCCGTTAATAGAGATGCGGCTGTGCACACACACACACACACACACACCCCTGGTGCCCAGTGGATGTGCGAGCCTGGATAGTACCTAAGTAGGGAGGGGGTCGGCGGTGTGTTTCGCCCGTCTCTTCCAGGACTGCAACTTGATTTCGTGGACAATGTGGGGGGGGAGAAGATGATTCTTTCCACCCCGCGGCCTTTTGGCGTCTTTGAGTTGCCGGCATATAAGTAAAAGGCCCCAATTGAGACTCTCAAATCACAAAAGCGCAGGTGGCAGGCGAGGCAAGATCAGGATCAAGGAGTGGTGGTGGTGGTGGTGGTGGTGGTGGTGGTATCGAGAGGACACTGAAACGATCTGGCTTGGTTTTTGTTTTTGACAACTCGCTTTTTTCTCCTGGTTTAAAAACCATGTCAACCAATCCATCCCTTGTCTCGCCGATGCAGCAGTGCAGCTGGCGTTGAGGACAGGGTGAATGAGTCTCTCCGCGTGCCAACGAGACCCGTTGCCCGACACTCTTAAGTCGGTCCAGAATCTCCTGCTCACGGGCTTCCCAAGCTTGAGTTGAGCGGTGTAGAGTGTAGAGTGCAGATGCGGGACGTTTGGATCGTCGCCAGGATGGGAAATGGCAAGCCTGAAAAGCATGCGAGCGTGTGGAGTTGACTTGGTGGCCGCAGTCGGTGACACTTCTCAAAGGCCGCAGTGCAAAGCATCTCGTGTCGTGCCAACAAGGCAGCCTCGTAGCCTCGTTTTGTTTCCCTCCACGCCTTCATACTGCACCGCAATGCTGTTCTCGACACCGTTGTTTACCACCCAGCTTTTCACATCCTGGATCTAACCCAGCCACGGGCTGCACTTCTACTACAGAAATCTGTGACACTTGGACAGAGCATGGGAATAGAACGACATTACCACGTATCGAGACAAGCAAGAGCGATTTGGATACTTCAAAAAATTTCATTCTCGACATCTGGAATCCTACTTCCTTCGACGTCGAGTCCCAGCACCGGCCGGGCAACCCCCTTCATCCTGTGAGTGCCAGAAGGGGAGTCCCGGCCTCATAGTGTAAACGTTTTCACCCACCCAGGAGGGGAGCAATAGCTATCTAGAACCCACACCCAGCCTACCTACAAGGCTGGGAGAAACCCAAGACCATTCCCGGACAAGGAACAGGACCACTCCTCCGTGGCCTTAACCCTGTAGTCCTTCCAAGGATACAGGGTCAGGGCAGGGATAACAAATCCCGAGGAGCCAGACCACCACCGGTGGCCTTAACCCTGTAGTCCCTCTCCATGGACACAGGGTTAAGGCAGGGATAACAAATCCCGAGGAGGAGCCAGACCACCACCAGTGGCCTTAACCCTGTAGTCCTTCTCGTGGACACAGGGTTAAAGCACAAAACCATCCCAACGAGGGACGGCAGCACCATCGGTGGCTCTGACCCTGTAGCCCTCCTCCGAGGTTGCAGGGCAGGTCACCCATAATATAAGAGCTCAATCAGTTATGGACTTTAACAGTATGGTAAAGTCCATAACTGATTGAGAAAAACAGCTCCGTGTCCCGCGGCAATTTCGACGACTTGAATCGTCGCGGACGCACTGTCCCCCAGACCAGCAAGGATGATCTCGGTCCCGTGCTAACAGTCATTTGTGGACTGTTTGTTGGAGACCTCGATCAACGTGAGAATGCCGAATCGGTGGCGTCGACGATAAGGGGAGATACCGATTCTTCTATCGAGGAAGAAAGGGCCTCCCAGTCGTCTCGACAATTGACACGGTAAGAACGGACGAGTTCTTGATCGTGCATGGAAAAGCCGTGAAGGACATTGTCGGAGCGGGCGGCCAGAGCAAGGCAGACGGGGTTCGAACGGTTGCTTCGTGTCTAGAGACACGACTCACGATGGGGATGCGTGATCACTGTGATGGTTCTCAGCAGACATCCCAGGCCATATTCTGAGCCGGCACTCACAAGCAACTTCCTTGACAGAATCCGTGGACCAATACAGTCCACGTCTGTCTCTCTCTCTATATATATTCTTAAGCATAATGACCAAACAATTCAGCCATGCACTGGAGGGACTAGCGACGAGATCGTCACTCCAGGCGGCATTGCAGCTCCACAACTGATGAATGTATATATGAAGATCACTTGGGTGCTTCACATAACAGACAGAGGCATCTTGAAAAACCCTCTGATGTGGATATTTGGGGAACAATAAGGGTTGCTTTGGCAGCATGACGGAGGCACAACGTCTTCCCATGTCACACGTGTCAAGTGTGACAGGTACAAGGCGCCGACACTGTCAAAGGGAACAGGACCGGAGAGTAGCCCACATGCATACTCCGCCAAACTGAACACCCGGGTTCAATCGCTCGTTCCTGTTCCATATTCAGTGCAGCGAGAAGACGTGACCATGACTTTCATCCAGCATCTTTCCCATGTCACATGCGTCAAGTGTGACAAGCATCAGGCGCCGACAATCCAACAGGAGACAGGACCGGAGAGTAGCCCACATGCATACTCCGCCAAACTGAACCACCTAGGTTCAATCGCTCGTTCCTGTTCCATGTTCACTCTCCAACAGGACACAGGACCGGAGAGTAGCCAACATGCATACTCCGCTAAACTGAACCACCCAGGTTCAATCGCTCGTTCCTGTTCCATGTTCAAGGTAGCAAGAAGACTTAGACTTAACCTCATCCACCCCGACCGCCAGTAAACGGTCAGGAGGATGGAAACCTCATGTACTTGCAGTACACAAGATTGAGTGGTTTCCGCACCGTGACCGAGTCAACATTCGCATTAGTTCCTTCCTGGCCAAGTAGAAGGAGCGAGAGTCTCGGTAACGGTACAGGGAAACCAGTCGTACAGTAGGGTTGGACCATTGTCCTGTAGCATAGGCCATGGTGCAGTGAAACCAAACGTTGTCATCTCCAACACGGCAGATGTCGACAACCGGCCGTGGCGATGACGCGTAGGTGTTTCGGCGCAACCAGGTGAGGAGCCCATTTTGGGGGCATTGCGGGTGTTGGGCGAGGTCAGCCCGGAGGATAGCTGGAAGCAGCTCGGATCGGTGGCAAAAGTTCTTAAAAGGAGGGGCGACCTCGCCCTTTCGTTCGTAGCGTTCGTAGTGGTGCGTCAACCGACGTCGTGGGCTGTCGTGGTGATGCTCGTCCCACGTCCAGCATGGGCGAGGCTGAATGCAATGTCGCCATCCTCTTGGTCTCTTGCGATGCATCGGCATCGACCGGACCTCAAGGAGATGCGCGAACCTTGCTCGTGTACCACGAAGTCAACGGGAGCGGTGGCTCCGTCCGCAGCGCACTGGCTGAGACGTTTTCAGTATTCGTAATTAGCTAATATCTGTGACGGGCGTCAGATTTTTGTAGCACGGCGATATAGAAGCATGTACTCACATTTGACATTCTGGACGTGGGCATACATAGACTTGGAGAACTACTCCAGACATTGTCGGTAGCAAGTCCCAGGCATGGCTTAAGGAGGTTCAGCGGCTGTTGCCCAAGCGTTTGCGGATTGGATCTTTGCTTGTTGAGGGCTCTAGCTATGGAGCCTCACCACCTCCTCTTGATCATCCCCGTTTATGCTCCCGTGGTGTTTCGTCGAGCGAAGGCCCGCCATCATTCGTGGGACATCATCTGAGCCCAATGGGATCGGAACTCGGTCTGCGGTGCAATATGGTCCTCCTTGATTCGGAACGGCCTTCTATAAAGGCCGCCTTGGATGACAGTCATAAGGAGAGCTCAATATCGCTTGAGAGGAGAAGGCAGAACAGAGGATTGTCGTGGGCCGGGTGTTGTCGACGATGTCCCTTGTCAAGGCAGGCAAGACGGAACGCTCGAGGGTGTACCTGGCCACAAGGCACGTCAGTCAAGCAGCTGAGGAGAGATGGAATGTCTTACCACGTAGAACAGCTACCGAGCTTCATCGTCGTCTTCGTCCCCCAAGTCGTGTAGCCCTCGAAAGGGCGGGAGCGCTCCGACCAGAAGGAAATTTGGATGCAGGGGGGAGACAGACACCGGATATATACCTGCCACCCTCTGCCACTCCCTGCGGCACAGGCACGGGGCGAGTCAGCACGAGCGAGCAAGATGCCGCGCTATTGGTTTAAGAGGCTGAACTTATCGCTGGGGCTTTGTCCGCCGCATGTATGCGTTGGCAAGCCTTGATTGCTTGGGATTTGGTTCATAATAGGCAGGAGGATCATGGCGGATCATGCCAAAGCGGCTTAGGGGGTGACCGAAGGAATTTGGCGTGCATCGAATGAGGTGACATGCACGGCACCCACGCGGGATGGGAATCAGAAGGAGACGAGTCAGACACAGAGGGCGTGGGGGATCGACTTAGGTAGTGATAAGGGCGGCCAGCTAGACCTTCGGGGGTGTGGGGGGCCTAGTGCTAGTGGTGCTCTAGTTCAAGTAACCCCCTATTCAGGCTTCGTTAGGGTGTCCAGGCCGCCTCCCATTACTGCCCATCAGTGCCCATCAGTGCCCATCAGTGCCCCCATCAAGGCCCATCACTGCCCATCACTGCCCCTCACCCCAACCAGACACTGTCAGCGAAAGAAGCACCAACTCATCAGTGATAATAAGTCTTGAACACGCCCTGCTCACACCATTTGCGTTGAATCATCCCTACCTTGCCCAACATGACTATCGGCCACAATACATTAAATCACGCTGCATTGGCACAGTCGCTGGGTGGGAGACTGGGTTGACCGTTGGACCCAAGCCCAAAATATGGGCGCCTGCCGCTTTTGCTGAAGCCCAAGACACAAGCCTGGGGACCGAGTAAAGCTGCCAAGCCTGGGCTTTGGTAGGTACTAGGTAAAGCTCCTGCTGGCTGCTCTATCTCGTACGCCTTTCTTCTGCCGTGGGCGTCATGGCATGCCAATCAGAAATGCAGCAGGTGCTTGCGCGAGAAGGTGGCCGAGGCGAGATTGAGGTGAGGCTTACGGGCTTGAGGCAGTCCGCAGCCGCCGATCGAGCGGACTTCAAGGGAAACAAAACCACCTTTACATCGGAAAATCACCCTTGGTCAACCAGGTCAAAGATGTGGTGGATGCGCTGGATCGAAGCCGGGGCGAAGCCTAAAACCATCACTGCTTCAGGGGCATCTCCTCTCCCGGTCTCAGCTGCCGCCTGCCGAGATGGCTGATATTTGCATTGCCGCCCGTCAATTGTCCACCTCTCCAGACGTTCTCCAAGAGAATACGCAGATATGACCTTGCGCTCAGCGAGAATGGGCCGAAAAGGTTGATCCACGATGTGAGCAGGAGGACTCGAGGGCATGCGGCAGAGAAAGAATCCAGTGCCAAATTCCCAGCGGATGTCGCTCCGCCATGCTTTCATCTATACTCTGTCGGGCACTTCTCAGGGTGCTCGGTCTCTTTATATCGTCACAGATTTCGTTGAGGGGGGCGAGCTGTTTGCGCTGCTCCGGAAGTCCATGCTGAGATTTCATAGCCACAATTCTCATCCTCGCGTCGACTGGGCAGTTCTGCTGACGGCGCGTCACATCCATGGCACGACAGCGGTTCCCGAACTCCGTGGCCAAGTACTACGCCGCCGGAGTCTTTCTTGCTATTGAGTATCTACGATCAAAGGATATCATAGACCGCAGCATCAAGCCCGAGAACATGTCATTGGATCAACACGGGCATGTCAAATTGATAGATTTTGGGGAGGCGAAGCATGTACCGAATGGAACAGGGACGCTGTGCGGAACCCTGGAATACATCGCTCCTGAGATTATCGTGAACAGCAATAAGGGGAAATACACAAAGTGTGCGGACTGGTAAGTGGGTGATGGAGAGTTCGACGATTGCTACGTGGGTTTTGACGATACTGACTGGGTTTCTCGATAGGTGGTCGGGGGGGATCTTGATATTCGAAATGCTCTCCGGCCACACTCCTTTCCAAGCAGGAGACGAGGACTCGCCGATGGAGTTCTACGAAAAGCTTCTGGGAGCCCGTTTCAATTATCCACCTTACATCCACCCTGATGTCGAATACCCGATGCATCAAGTGCTCGTCCCGGATCCGGAGTGCCGGCTAGGAAACAAGCCGGGTGACACCGAGGGAATCAAGAAACATAGATGGTTTGCTGAAGATACTTGGGATCGTCTTCTCCGGAAAGACATCGACGGACCATACATACCGCCGATCCAAGGCGAGAAGGGAGATGCCAGTAAGTTTGACAGGTATGATGAAGAGGATTCGGGTGGAGAAGAGGAGGGCGAGGAGTGAGTGGCCCCGTGTGTGAAGTTTGCATGATGGCATGTTATTCTGACTCGAGCCTCACAGATATGGAGATGTCTTTGCCAACTTCTGAGTAGTGCTGGATATGATGGGGCCGTTGCCTTGCCATCTTGTGACGACAGCCCTCTCTCAAGAGCAAAGGATAACCGTGGAACAGGTTGATTGCTGGCCCAAGTATGGCTCACGGCATGTACCGCTTCGAACAGACGGAATGGTCGCGAATTGACCTCTCCCAATGGGGTATCCGCGCGCAAGACAGCAAATACCATTATACTCAGCGGCGAATCTTAGCCTCTCCCAAATCCATTTCCGCTTTCAGACCTGAGCATCCCGCCATTTGACCTGAGCGATGACTGAGCAGGTTTGAGCCGCGGCTGTGCAAACCTGAGGGCCCTAGAGCGACTTTTCTGGTTGACAACGGATTCGCTGATACCACATTGCTGTCGTGGGCCCAGTGACAGGGAAGGTCGACCAAGCCGCAGACGCTCCTCATGAGACAGATGCTGACGGAACAGAATCCGTTCAAAGTTGCCCAGGCAAGAATACCCCAAGATAGGAGCATTGTATTGTGCAAATGATCCTAGTTGACGCCAAAGGTTTGTCTGAGCGAGGCTGGGAGCTTCTCGCAATTGAGGACGCTCTCCGACCGAGCTTTTTTGGCCACTATTCAAGTCAAGGCTTCGAAGCAATTCAACCAATAGTAGGCAGGCCGTGAGAGCCTTCTGACCGGGCCAGCCATCTGCTCTTGAAGCGCGAGGTTGTGCTTGCGGGCGAACTCTAAGACATGGATACCAAGACATGATCTGGAAGCTTGTGAGTGCTTGTTGACGGGAACGCACGGCTGCACGGCTGCGCACACAGAATGGGGTTCGGAACTCGCTAGCTACCGAGCTACAAGTACGTCTCGAGACCGGTTCGCAGGAGATATTGCAAACGTGGCCAAGCTGCTCACAAGCTTCAACGACACACGGAAGGTTGAGCGCAAAGATTCTAGTCTTGGCTCGAGCTCCCCTTTTGGAGGCGAAAGAATCCCTCGAACCTGAAGGAAGCATGAAAACCGTTGATGCACGGCAGTCAGTTGCCTCCGCCCTCGAGGGAGTGATAAACTTGTTCACGGTGCCTTGCGGCACTTAGACCCCAAGAACGACAAGAGGCAGCGCGTATTTTTCAGGGAGGAAAATCCACTGGCAGGAGCCTTGTTGCACCTAGGACATGTTCTTTCAACAAAATGGCGGTGATATTCCATAGTTCTGCCGGCAGAAGAACTTGGTCGTAACACGTCTCCCTTTGCTCCTCTGCGCCTCGGTCAACCCGTCCGCAAAGGTGGCAAACAGGTCGCTGCGGCATATGGGGTCCTTGATCTCTCGCAACTTCTGCACCGCCCACAATGTGTCTTCCTTGCGTATTGACTCGATTGCATACAGAAAGAGCGGACGCAAGTAGCCAGCGCTCAAATGTCCTTGATCATTGTACAGATTCCACTCATCTGCCGCTTCGACCATCTTTCTGATCTCTGCCATGGCCGACTTTGCTTCGGAGGACGCCAGAGGAGGGTCGGACAACGTCCGACCAGTCTCGATGATCTCGGTGTAATACGCGGCGTTGGCAATGCCGATGGCCGTGATCAATGGTCGAGCAATTTCTTCCGCAAAGTATGCGTAAATATCGGTGGGAGCGAGACGGCAGATGTCAGGCCGGTGATGCCATAGCTGGTACAGCCGATTCTTCAGGGATTGCATCTCGAGAGCCACTTCGTCCTGATCCGCCGGGGTGATGCGAGAGCGATGATAGTGGCTGAGCTCTGCCACTTGGGTTGAAATGGTTTCTAGGTGTACGCGGAAGTCGAACAATGGTGCGCCGAGGTATCTCAACAGCGACTCCCGTGGCCTTGGATCGATGTGTGGTGTTGATGGGATCGTGGCATGGTCTGGAAGATTTCGGAGAAGGCTCTCTGAGAGGAGACCAGGATTGCCGCCACGGCGTCCAGATGCATGCAGTAGTCTCAGCCACGCCGATATCCTCAGATCCTGCGGCTCAAGGAGATGGTGAGTCGCCTTCAATTTCTCCACGAAACGCAACGACATCTCCGGGTCTGTCAGTGTCAGGCCCGTCTCGTCGAACACGAGCATCTCAAACAGGCTTAATAGCAAGGCCACATGAAGTGTCTGCGTGACCGGTTCTGCTTCATCACTTAACATGGTCCGAAAAGCAGCCCTAGCTGCATCGTGCAGGCTATAGACCGCTTTCGACACGGGCACCCCCAGTTTCAGCGCCTTGTAGAGTGCCTGCACGGCTAAGATGGCAGCCGCGATCGTCCTGTGATGGTTTCCAAGACGTGTAGTTTGGGTTTTGAATTCTTGCCAGTTCAGATCATCTATCACAGAAATGGTGGCCGCCGAGACATGGCCGACGAAATAGTCGAACGAAGGCTGTGCACAAGCTTCGGTGGCTGCAAGTCGGTCAATGGTGGTGCACAGATAGATGTCCTGCGATGTCATCAGAGACAATGCTTGGGGTGAGTTCAGTATGTCACGATCCAGCGCAGCGATCCCAGGATTTCGCCCAAGCGATGATGCGGGTATGACGGCGGCGTAGTCGGGTAAGGGTGACGATGGTGAGGAGGCTACCGAGTGGCTTGTGCTTGCAGGAGACGCCGCCAGCCCGGGAGTGGGATGTAGAGACAGTGTTGCACAAGTCTGATGAGTTCCATGGTAATGTCGAGGTGTCGAACGAGGCACGTAGGAACACGTTCGCTGGAGCCTCTGACACCGCCGGCATATGGGCTTCTCCTCGTCACATTTCAGCTTGCTCCGTCGGCACGCCAGACATCCTGTGCGAGTACGACCTCTGGCAAGCGTTGGGTGCAATTTTCGGCTCAGTTCACATCTCGTGTCTGTCATGGATACCTAGGTGCCTGGGTACCTTGTAAGTAACGAGTCTGTGGATTGCGATGCTAAGATGAGGCGCCGATATGAGAGCGATGGGCTGTTCATTATTCGCACCTGAACGCTGCGAGATGGAAGGAGACGAAGATGAATTGACGTCGCGAGGTTACCTACCTAGGTAGGTACCCAGCGGGGAATGTCACGTGGCCGATTGGTGTGCGCCGATTGGGCGGGGGAGTTTTGGGTCACATGACACGGGCTTACCTTCTTCCGTCCCGCCATGTGACTGACAGAGATGCCAAGGTTTGTAAAGACCGTCAAGGCTATTACTGACTAACCGTTTGAGGCCTTCGGCCGAATACCTCCGGAACATGACGGTACGCCTCTGTATATTACCTGGTATATTACCTGGTAGTATATAGTCTGACAGTCCCCGGACCTACCTAGTTGAATTCACCGTGTTCCTCCATCGAGTCACATCCGCGTCATGATCTTTGCACGACCAGGTACCAGGTAAGCAGTCGAAGAATAGGTCAAACACCACGCCACACAAATCATCATGACTCTTCCAACGCTCGATTGCATGCCTACTGATCTGCGCCGAGGTAGAATACCTGCTTGAATGCACACATATCATGGAAAGTACAATACTCTGGAGCCCCGAGCTCGACGTCTCTTGGTAACCTCAACAGCCAACCATCAAGATATGATGTGATGCGAGTTTTGTCCTCCAGGCCCAGAAAGCGCAAGCTATATGCAATGCTGATGTGAAAAGAGTATGTCGCATGGCCGGGGTGCTGCATCGCCAGCTCTCCAGCAATCTTGTCTCGCAGGTCTTGCAATCCGGTCTCTTCCTCTTGAGTCTTGGGGGTCATTTTGAGAGCTATACCGTCGTCGAGCGCCTCCCATCCTGCCACACACATCCTATATGGCGGTCGATGCGGAAGTGCAAAGCTCGCCATCCTCTTGCGAACATGGTCGTTGCACGCCTCGAGGCTGCAATCCAAGGACAAATCACCCGGCCACGATTCTCTTTTGCGGATTTGATCAGAGACGCCCTCAAATATCGTCATGTGCCAGCTTGATGCCGGTAGAAAGACAAAGAGGTTGGCAAAATCTTGTTGCTTCACGTCTTCCTCGAAACCCAGCAGTGATCGGTACAGCGGGGCCTGACGGGGCAGATGGCAGATAACGGTATTGCCAGGAAATGGTAGAACAGTGCCATCCGGCTTGAACTTGTGGCCGATCCATCGCGGATAGTCTGCGTGTGGGAAGTCTTGCTTCGGCACTGGCTCAATGCGGTCGTTGCAAGGGGGTTCAGATTCAATGGCGATGCTTCTGAGGGCGGTCCTGATTGACATACTTTCAGTGATTAACGCGGTTCTTGCTGTGCTTAGATCGGCTACTACGCTGAGTACGATCGACGATAATGGCTATGGCAATCTCCCCTTTTTATAGCCACCTGGGCAACTTGCGGCGCCTACGTGGCGCGAGCATGAGACAACAAGCGAATATCCTGCAACCACGGACACTCCCTCGCCATATTGCGAACGCTACCACTGAATAGGGTGAGAGACCATGCCCCAATGCAAAGAGCCCGCTGGCGCTTCCATTTGGGCCAAGCGCACTCCACGCCCGGCTGGAGATAGCTAAGAGATAACGCAAATTAGGTATAGTTTGAATGTCTCGTCTGCAACAAGTCTGGCGTCGCCGCTTAGAGATAACAGACCGGCACGCGATAAGAGGAGACATCTACCACCGAGACTCCGAGTTTCCATCCTTGCACACACTCCAATGGTGGCCTGGATCTCGAGCACGCCTCTTGTATTGGATGTGGAAGGTCGCCGAAGCCTCCTTGGGCTTGAGGTATGATGCTGATGGCCCACAAAGGTATATTAACGTGGCCTTGAGACACCCAGGATTGCAGCTGTCGCGTCAGAGAGCTCAACACGACAAAACCGAGCAGTCGCAATGGAAAAGCAGAGTTGTCATGAGAAGTTTATCGAGCAGGGACAGCCATTGATGGCTGAGGTGGAGGATGCTACAAATCACGAACATGAGCTGAAGCTTCTGGAAGCCGTTCGGCTGTATCCCAAGGCTGTTGCGTGGAGCGTCATGATGTCCACAGCGCTGATCATGGACGGCTACGACCTCAAGGTAAGTCCGAGCCACGCTATCCATGTCTCTTTCTGACTTGTGTGTGCAGTTGATTGGGTCCTTGTTCGCACAACCGGCCTTCAACGAGACATACGGCGAACTGCGACCGAATGGCAAATACGTGATATCTGCACCGTGGCAGTCTGGCCTGAACAATGGCTCGAATGCTGGCCAGATCATTGGGCTCATGCTATCGGGCTATGTGGTCGAGAGGATTGGTTTTCGATTCACCATGATGATTGCGCTTTCCGTCGTCCTACCTCTCATCTTGATCCAATTCTTCGCCTCCAGTCTCGGAGCTCTCGCAGCGGGACAAGTCTTGATCGGTATTCCTCTTGGCATGTTTCAGACCGTCACCTGCGTCTACGCCATTGAAGTCATGCCAACCTGTCTTCGCGCATATCTCACGAGCTACGTCAATTTGTGCTGGCTCTTCGGACAACTGATTGCGAGCGGCGTTCTTCGTGGAACCTTGCAGCTGTCTGCACCTTGGGCATACCGAGCACCATTTGCTGTACAGTTATTTTGGCCACTTCCGCTCCTGATCGGCGCCTTTCTTGCGCCGGAGAGTCCTTGGTGGCTTGTTCGACAACGGCGCATCGATGAAGCCAAGCTTTCAGTAAAACGCCTGACATCAAAGACATCAGTCAACTTCGATCTGGACAAGCATGTGGCCTTGATCCGCGCCACGACCCAACATGAAAGACGACTCAAGGACGAGACGCACTTCGCCACCTGTTTCAAGAGCACCGACCTTCGCAGGACTATCATTGTGATTGGATGCTACTGCATGCAAGTCATTTCGGGTAGTACACTGCGAGCATACGCAACCTACTTCTTCCAGCAAGCTGGGCTGGCCACGAATCAGGCCTTCAATATGTCGATAGTGGTGTACGCTATCGGCATTGCAGGAGTTGTATCTTCGGTAAGTCCAAGATTGTCACGTAAGCGACGACCGACTGACCGGATAGTGGTTTTTCATGTTCCGCGTTGGTAGACGGACGCTCTTTCTGATCGGCCTGAGCTGTTTGGCTGTTGTGTACTGCATCATCGGCGCACTGGGGATTGCTCAAGCTTCGCATCCATCACCTGGGCAAGCTTGGGGCATTGGAGCGCTGCTGCTCTTGTCGTCGTACGTCGCCAATTCGACGATTGGAGCAGTGTCGTACACATTGGTATCGGAGATGCCTTCGTCATTACTGCGCAGCAAGACGGTGGCAATAGCGAGAGGCTGTTACGCGGTCATCAACATTGGTGCTAATGTCATTACACCGTACATGCTCAACTCGACGGCTTGGAACTGGCAGGCTCAGGCCGGCTGGTTCTGGGGAGGTGCTTGTGGGCTCGGCCTGGCTTTCAGCTATTTCGTCATCCCGGAGTCCAAAGACAGGACGATTGCCGAGCTTGATCTGTTGTTCGAGAGGAAGATATCTGCTCGAAAATTCGCGACTACACAGGTATCAGTCGCCGGATTGACAGGGCATCGTGATTAAGTATCCTAGGCTGAGACCAAGAGTTTGGGAATTGTTGCTCATGGACGACATAGGTCAGCATTGCTCGTCAATCGATAAAATTCCTGGGGATGTAGATGGTCATGTATAAACTTTCTACATCTTCGAAGAGAGGCATATCCAAAGTATAGCGTGAGTGTCCAATAATTAATAGCGGAGCCTAGAAATGGGACAAAAGCACGGCTGATGAGAAGGATGATAAGGGGGTGAGCCGCGGCCTGGACAGGCTGAGCAGCTCTCGCTGTGGCTGAGCCGCCGTCCCAAACGGATGCCACGACCGGGCGCTTTGTCGCCGCGGAATACCTCGTACTGCCAGTGCTATATGACCTACCTTGGTAGTGTCTATCAGGTGGGTCATAGCCATGAATATCGCCTACTACGAGGTAGGTAGTATATAGGGCCGAGAGAGACTCCACCCCGATTCCTATCTGCCCATCTGCCCATCCAAACGCCAACTCACTGCAACCTCCCAACGTTCGCACCGCACGAGCTCTACGACATCGACGATGATTCCGATGCCGTCAACGAATGGCTAGAGCTCCTTTTGCCCCGATCCGAATTCCGATGACCTTGCTCAATATCCACAATCGCGTGTTCCATCCCGACCGAAGAGGACCGGTGGCTTCTCCGCCGACTGAAAAAAAGGGACCCTGAAAGATGCACGACGCGGTGACGATCCCGAAGGCGGCACAAAAAAACTGGTGATGGCAGGAGATTCGAGATCTACAGCCACGTTCGTGTGAAAGGGGCCGAGAAGAGGTTCCAGGACGACACAAGTTCCGAGCCTCTTCTTTATTCACGCCCCCATTCTTTCCCGCTTCAGCACCGGGCTTTTCGGAAAGTGGCGCAGTCTCTGTGCTCCGTGGTGGCGGCCGACACCTGCTGGGGAATCAAATGGCTTCATCTGGCGAACGTCATGCCCCTTTTTCTCTCTTGGAAAATCTCAACTCCCGCAGAATCTAGGGCCGCGCCCCCCACGGCTTGCGCACTGTCACAGCCAGCACAGTCTCTCACAAGAGAAGTAGGGCCTTACAAGTGGCGAGAAACAGAATCCGTTGGCATATGCGGGCAGCAGCCCAAGAGAGGTCATGAAGAAGAAGAAAGAAGAAAGATGAACGCAATCTCTAGAGTCCATCCCGGCCCGCGGAAAAGTCCCCGACTAGACAGAAAGTGAGTCGGAACTATCCAAGATCCTCAATCCAATCGATATGAGTCGCGCGCACGACAACTTTGATGATCGGCACAAACTTGACCACACCAATGGGTGGGCGTCATCCCCTTAGAATTATTGAGCGTGGGCCGTGCCGCGACGATTCCTCACTTCGACTCCTTTCATGATGAGGCTTAGAGACTAGAACGCGACCTATCTCTACAGACTTGGCTGTTATAATCCATCCGCAGTGTATGTCGACCAAATAAGATTTGCCAGCATGACTTGGGGGAGAATGCATGTCACATCATTCCAGGCCAACCGCTTTCATCGGGGTTTGCACTCTACGAAAATGAAGACTGGACTCCCCTTGCTCGGCGTTGGCGGCAACTGGACTTTAAAAATGCATGGGAGATGAGATGCGTGTTATCCCGTTGGCCAACAAGTTTCGGGTCCGGAAGTTTTACTGGGGAGCTTCGTGTTATCCCACGAAGCGTCATTTCCTCTCCCTGAATTTCCTGACATCGTGACAGACTGCTCAGTAGCAGTCCCAACAGAATTGCTGGTACCGGAGTAGGTTGAAGATGTTACCGACTGGTGCTTGGGCTCCGGCATTGTTTCGAAATCGAGTGGTTCGGGTTGAGGTGGCTGTCCCCACGTTTTATTGTCGAGCCGAGTGTTTGATTGTGTGGCCTGGAGAGCGGGCTGCTCCGCAACACTGTCCTTCTTATATGACGATGCCGAATAGCCAGGCTGTACCTTGACGATGACGTGGGAGCGGCAATGGGGACGCTCAACGAATCGCCTGATCCTCGAGTCTGGAAACGAGGATCTATTGTTGGTTGTTCAACCGTCACAAAATCAGCGACATGCACACCTGAGCGCCATCTGCAGGGAGGTGCAATCCAGTAGAGATTTCCAAACTCCTCTTCCAGCAAGGCTCCATCCTATTCCGTCAAGCTACCAACCACTTCGACGTCCGAAATTTCCATCCAGAACAAGGGGGTGATGTCTCTGTCGAGATTTTCATATCTGTACAAGCTTCATTATCAATGCCGGCGTAAATTCGTAGCTGGTCGTTGGAGTGAAGGCAATGCCATGCAGCCAAGAGGAGAATTCTCCAACCAGCAGCATGTGACAAGTGTTGCCAGTAAGCATGTTGGGCCCTGCACGAGACTGAGAAAGTCTTCAAGCGCCGAGCCTCTTTCTCTTTCCTTCTCCTTCCTGTACCCATTCGATGATCTGCCGTATATAATGACGTTTGAATGTCGCTCTTGTGTTTTGAGATAAATCTGCTCATTGCCAAGTTCGAGAAGGTGCCGGTTTCCGGGCGAAAACATAGACTGTGGATTGGTTCGCATTTGATCCCAGAGGTAGGCTTCGGTGACAAAAAGATCACACATCTTCCTCTCTCCATCCGTACTCATCCATGACACTGTGAGATCGAAGGGCTTGGGCAAAAGGGCAAAGCCACCGCGATTGGTTCCAAGGCAATGGCGATCGCCGCTCAAAACATCCTCAAGAGGCAGTCGAAAGTCACCTTTAGCCGCTTAAACCTGCTAATTTTCAAGCAGAGCGTTTCCTGCGATACTCGTTGTTCGCATGCCCGCAATCTTTCACCCTGTAGAAACTTGACACCCTGAAACTAGCAGACACCATAACGTTTGTTTGATGGAAATTGAAAGGATACGGTATCTGGATCACAGCGGTGTCAATTCGAAGGGGAGAAGGTTCTGCTACTGCTGGATTTCGATGGAGAGCACATCAGAGGATCGAGGGAAGGACATTGAGGTCTCGGTATCGGGTCATCTTCGAGGGCGTGGACGTCAATCAATCCCACAGCTGACAGACCGGAACTACTCACCTTGAGCCAAGGGAGACCTGACCGATCCGACGGCCAGATGACGTTTTTTGGGAGACGGAACTTGGTTCATTGTGTTCACACGCTCTCGCGATCTCTTGCGCTTCTTCGACAGTACCCGCTAAGGTGTTCGTATAACAACGATTCCTTTGTGAGCGCTGAAACCCAGGACAATTTTGACCATCAAAGAGAGAGAGTGGGTTAAGGCATGGTAGGCTGCAGTGAGTGTCGTTGCACTGCACTGGATGGCTCGAGCTCATCAAAGAAGGTTGCATGTGAATTGCACTGAACGACACGCCTTCGACGCCTGGGAGTGAAACTGCGCGTCAAATATGTTTACTCCACCGAATATATATTCGTTTCTGGGTGTCTGTGTCTCCGTAGCCAAACCTTCTAAATCTTCTCTGTGAAAGAATGTTCATTGTATCTAGGTAACCAAACAACAACACCGTGCCATACAAAAATACCGTCGTTTCAACTCTCATCTTGAGAGACGACAGTGCCAAGATGGATTCACAACTTGGTTCTGCGCCTCGACAGAATGACGCCGAGAATTGCGCTGCGGATCACTCTAACATGAGCGGCGCCTCACCCTCTCAAGGCACGGAAGTGCGCTACAAGTTCGAGCTGCAAGAGCTTGCCACTTACCTCCGAAACAAACCAGACGCCCATAGAGGCCCCGGCGGTGACATCGTCGAATTCTTCCTTCCCACAGAGCAATTCCAACAATTCGAAGAGGAGCTGGAGCGTTGCGGTGAATTCGCGGGAGCGCGTTGCAAGTAAGTTTACGCCACTTGATCCCCTTCGAGGCCTAGCTCACCATGACGATAGATACGACTATTCCTATCCCAGTGAAACGCTGGCACTCAGAATGGGCAGTGACAAACACGAATTTCTCGTTCAATTTCTCAACAGACGTCTGGTGTATTTCCTCGATCGAGCAGAAAACGACCCAAAATCCTCCGTGTCTGAGTTTGCCGCGTCGGTCGCACCTTTCGGCTCTGCTTTCGTTCGATATCCTTCTAAGGATGGCAAGGGCAGTATCAAGCGTGCACCAGATTTGACTTTCAAAAATATCAACAAGCCTCGATACCCAGTTCTGGTTGGTGAAGTCGCATACTCGCAGACAACAGAAGAGCTACACAAACTTGCTCAAGAATACATCGAGAAGACTGAGGGCCATATCCGAACTGTGATCACAATCGACCTCGATTACCCAACAGGTAAAGGGGTATCTCTCTTGGTATGGAGGGCAAAGTTTAGCGAAGACGGGAAGTTCGAAGGGGTAGCCTGCGACGACGCCGTGGTAAGATAATACCCCTTTCGTTCGTGACATTCCTAATTCTACCAACTAGGAAATTCGAACCAAGGATGGTGGAAAGAACCCCAAACGCCAAGCCGGACTTTCACTCTCACTCGAAGACTTTGCTTGCATTGGAGGAGTTGATGAGGATGCGGATCTTCAATCTGTGACCGTTACCGTGTCTACGGACGATCTGTACAAGGCATTGGAAATTGGGGAGAAAGCGGACGAAGCCACAGCCTTGAGGGCTCAATGACGCGAGAATGGAGGCTATCATTCTGCCCCTTTTCAGATTTGCTGGCACGCTGGCTGGTTGTCAATGAGCCCAAAAGCAAGCTATGGCAGCATGAGCCCAATTGTGTATGAGTCCTTCCGTGGAAGAGATACATTCCTGGACACAAATCTTGACGTCGTCGGACAAATTACCGTTTGACAGCAGACTTGCAGGGCAGCAGAATTGCAGGGCAGCAGACTTGCAGGACCAGATAAAACTAGAAATGGCCAAAAAAAAAGATTTCAGTCAACATCCGCCCTTTTTATTGTCTCTCTTGTTTTCGAAGCCGAGTTCCTTATTCCCCCGACCGCGGCGCCACTGAGCGCGCAACGAAAATTCGTTTCCCTTGCAGTAGTAGGTTTCGAGAATCCCTAGAGTCGATTCCTACCTTGTGGGTAAGCTACCAGCTGAGGTGAGGGGCACCGGCAGATTCTGAGGCTGTCATCAATTTGAGATTCCCAAGTCCCTACCTACTTGACAGGACCGACTCGAATTAGCGGGCGATTTATGATGTGACATCGATCTTCAAAATTCTGGCGACGCATTCAGATGCCCCTGTGTGTATTTTGGCCGGCGCTCGGCGGATAATTGCGCTGCGGCTTCTTTGTTGCATCGCTCAACCACATCAACGCGGCTGGAGATATGTGCTGAGCGGCATAACTTAGCGATCGCCAAGAGGACAGTCCACGGTGCGATCGAGCGAGTCTGGCAGTAGCAAGTAGCCTATCCAATTCCCGCTTCCAGACAACGAAGCCTTACCCCGGACGAGCGGCTTGTCTCGACTGACTTCTGGCAAGAGGACGCCAATTCGATAACTCCAACGCCGAGTCGGTCTCCAACGCCCGAGCAGAGACGTCAGCAGGGACAGAAGGAAGGGCAAAACGAAACGTGTCTCCGTCACAGAGCCTCAAAGAGAAGGAACAGTCCGCACAGGATAACCAAAAGAGCAGAGTAGGCTCGAAGAGATTGGTGACACCGAATGGCATCACCAAGGTAAGAAGCCGACATTGGAACCTAGGTCCCCATTCAGGGATCCCGCGATCGGATTGCAAATACACATCATTGCCTCTGGGAAACGAACTTGTTCATCTGTAAGCACCGCCGTCGAGAGAAGAGATTAAAGAGATGGTCGACTGGAGAGATAAATAACGATCCAGGCCTCGACAGATAAAGTAGGGGGAAATGTTTCTGCCATTATTGAAAGACAAGCACTGGGGGACCACATTGCGTACATCGAAGCACTGGGCAAAGAGGCCACCGCAAGTGAACTGAGAGAGACGCAGCTGCGATGGTCGCCGGACGGGAGGCAGATCATTCATTCGGTCTTCGTCGCTCGCACGATGGGATCTTACTAGGTCAGACAAGGGGGGCAGTGTTTGGACATACATACAGCGCGCAGCCACGCAGCAATGATGGGATCGATCGTGAACCCTGTCTCGGTTTCTCTTAACGGTACTGCCCGGTCAATCTCGGTGGTGCCTCTCCATTCTCGCGATTGGGTTGAATCGAGGCCTTCAAAGTGGAGTCTTAGGAGATACTTCATTCTCGGAGAACTATGCGGCAGACACCCAGGGCACCAGCATTTCGCTCTTGCCTGACGAATTAGTTTTGAGCAAGATTTTCTACCAGGGATTGCCACTGGAGTGCACCAGGCCATTCTTGGACCAGCTGGCCCAGCTTTCCTCATTGTCCCAAATTTGCTGACGCTTACCGATCGTCTGAACTTTGAAGGACAATTGCTGATGAACCGCCAAATCCTTCAATATGCCTTCTACTTTTGGACAGCGGTTGTTGGCAGCTTCAAAGATGACCGACCAAGAGAAACCATCCTTCGAAGATCGCGTATGAGCCGACTGTGGAGCGGCTGATTAGTTGGAATTGTGACGCCTGATTGCGACGCCTGGATTGGACTATATTTCTTCCATGAAGGAACGTGCCAGATCTGCACCGAAAAAGTTGAGGCTGATCCCTTCATCATGTACGCTTAGGAGCTTCATCTTCACCGACATAATGCTGCCGAACCTTCTATACCACGGTCAATTGCTCTCGATGAAGTCGGCGGCGGGGGATGAGAGCAATCTTGTTCTTGCTATCCGACATCAACCCACCGCCGAGAGCCTCCAGCACCTGCTTTGGACCCAAAAAGAGTCGATCGCGGCCATGGTCAGAAACCATCTTCACCTGCACAAAGATGACGGCTACGTGGTTCTCCCACCTGACCTCTGGATATAAGGCGGCTTCAACATTTGTGTCCTTGTCGACGGTACAGTTGTTGGTGGCTCGACAGGACTTGTTTTCCGTTGCCCACGCATCACAAGCTAGCTGAAATCCAGTATCCTGGGACAATTGATGAAAAGGTCCGGTGCGAAGTCGCTCCGGATGCATGGATGCAAGAGTACTGTTCCAATATTCGAATACCGAATCTCTATGCCTTCGATTTCATCGACGGTAGTCAAGTTCGTTCTCTGAGCTCTCTGTCACCACCTTTCATTTTCCTATTCCATTGATTCTCTCCTGTTATCGTGACCCAGTTTACCCGCATTGAGCAAGCGCCCCGTCGACAGCCCAACTAGAAGTGATAGCTAGCCCACAGGCTATAACTCGCACATGAGGAACGAAACTACAGCATAGGATTTGCGACGGTTATGTTCGATATATTACCAGCTATCTCGATGCACTGAGAGGTTTCAGGAATGCTAGGATGTTTGTGGCGCTCTGTCCGGGGTTGTTAGCCATTATATCGCCGGAACAACCTTGGGTGTCTCGTTCAGAGAACGTATCGGAATTTGATATGCCCATCACCTTCGTCCTCCAATGAAGTCGAATAGTGTGGATGGGCGATACCCCTCTGTCTGTAATCCAATTCAATTTCTTCCTTCTTCGCATTCGCACGCTTCATCCACAAATACACTGCAAGGGTGTTGATCAAGCTGAAACTAAGAAAGGCCAACATCACTCCATGCCCTTTTAGATACCTTGGGGGGTCGGTGTAGACTTGCGAAGCCGCAATGGAAAAGCACTGAGCAAAAATACCGGCAACTGCCCATGAAGTTGCTCTCTTGGTATACCCACAGCTGTTGGTATTGGCCCAAGAGAACACCAGAATGATGGCTGGGTAGATTCCGCTGAGCACCAGACAGGTGGCAAAAATGCGACCTGCGTTATTTGTGATGGTCATCAGAATAATATAGCCCACAATAGCAAGCACGAGACTCCCGGCAACAAATATGCCTTTGCGCCGAAATCGATCAGACACAAAGTTGACCGTGACCAAAGACACCGTCGCGCAGGCATATGGAATGACTGTAAAGAGCTGAGAATGGACTGGGTGAGACTTTGTTAGCCCAAGGCAGAAACTTGTTCGGAAAATAATCATACCCGCCGAGTAACCAAACGACTTGATGATAGACGGTAGGAAGTTGCCGACTGCAGCAGATCCCATGCCAACGCCACCATAGATGAAAGCCATCATGTACCTGCAAATGGAAATTAGCGTCATGCATGGGCGGACTAAAGGGAATGCCTGTCAAGAATTGGTCTCACGTTTTCGGCTCCTTGAGAGCACGCAGTACATCTGACCACTTGAGTTTTGCTCCTGCCACGTTATAGGCTGTATTTGCGAGTCAATGGTCCGAGTCATTCATTCTTATCGAATCAAATACGTACCACTCGCCCTGGAGACAGCAAGAGCAACTTCATCCTCGGTGAAAAGCCAGTGTTTTTTCTTCAGTCTGTCTGGAAACTGAGGCAGAAGGAACAAGATCAATATGCCCACCGCAATTGAAGGTATTCCTTCGACCAAGAAGAGCCACTGCCACGCAGACATTCCATGCGTGCCATTGAGATCTTTTTGGACACCATAGGCAATTAGGCCGCTGAAGCATCCGCTAATCGTTGAGGTCGAGTAGTAAATCGCTGCTCAAAAGTCTGTTAGCCATGTTCTGTTTGTCAAGAGACTCGGAGAACCATACCCGCCCGGGTAGCTAGCTCATGCCGGCTATACCATAAGCTCAAATAGAGACCGCCTCCCTGGATGAAGGCTTCTCCACAGCCGACCAGCACTCGAAGGGCCATGACAGAGCCGTAGTTCTTCGCCTGAGATAAGCCGCAAACAATCGCACCGAAGAACACGCAGGCTCCTCCGATGGTTCTGTCAGGTCCCCAGGCTCTGAGAGCCAGATTGCCGGCAAGCATGCACGTAAGATAGCCCACATCTACAGCCTGCGTCAGAAAATATCCATCACAACACCCCAATTGAAGTGAAATCTCGTACAGAAGATGGTAAGACAATTATAAAATTGCTTGCTCGTGAGATGGGTGTCCTTGGTGAAGGTCATGATCTTCGCATTGCCGAGATTATTGCGATCCTGAGCATGCTAATTAGCAGTGGACTTCATGTGCAGTCTCCAAAGATAACAAGCCAGCGGCTCACCATGTAGGCGATCAGATAAGTCAGCGACATGATGGGAAGAATGAGAAAGTCCGACTTGAGTTTCAGAGCCCGCTCGGCCTTCTTGTCTACCACCTCGGCATGTTCGTCGAACGAATGCTTGTCGAACGAATGCTTGTCGGTCACCTCGATGTGGAGGTGCTCCTCCGTAACGGTGGCCTTGTTGTCTGTTTTGAGGTCAACGTCCATGACTGTGTGGTGCAAAGAATAGCTGAAAGGACGTGCCGTCCCTTTCATTTATATTGTTCCTTGACGTTTCCACGAATCGGGGCTCCGGAGTCCAGAATCTGGGGAAACAGGCTGGGGAAACAGTCGGGCGTGGGGCGAGAACTAATTCCGACATCGGCTTCCGCCCTCGGGCGAACCAAGTCAAATTCTGTCTGCAGACTTCGTCCGCTCTCTGTCTCAAGTAGCCAACTACTTGTTCGCCCGCACTCGCATCATCGGCTTAGACTGGCTGTTTTACCATGGCTTATGAGACTCAAGCGGTCGTCCGCGAAGACCAATCCGAACCGCCGCCAGTAAGAGACGCCGCTGAAGTGGCCCAGAGGCCGCGGGCGAAACGGAGACGTCGGGTTTGCATTGAGTGCCATCAAGCAAAGGTGAGGCTCACCTCTCCCAGAACGAGAGTCCAGTCGACATCAGTGATTGTGCCGAAGATGCTGTTGGGGATTCGCTCTCACACTGCCCACAGCTACGCTGCGATGCCCCGGTCTTTCCCTGTTCACGTTGTCGGCGACTCAACCTTCGATGTCAAGTTGATCAACACTATCAGCGGTTCAACAAAAATGCGTAGGTATCTCTATCAATAATCATTGAAAAAAAAGAGAGAGAAATCATTCAAGAAAAAGCGAAAGCAAAGGGACCAAAGCCACTAACGGCAAACATAGCAAAATTCAAGAACTCCAGAAGGAACTTCAGCAATTGCGCCAGAGCAGCCAACAGCGCCCATCAGGCACCGCAAGCATCCTCTCACCTGACCCGATTCTCTCAGCACCAGCCTCAACTCCATCAATGCCTTTGGCCGAATGGAGCTTCACTCCCAGAGACCCTATTGGCCGGGGAAGATCTCCACTTGAGAAGGACGACTTGCTCACAGAGCGACCTGACAAGCAACCTACAGTGGATGAGCAAGACTCTCACCTTTTAGATTTCTCATTGTTGAATGCAGACGACCGATCGCAGCCACCTCCCGATCGAGACCGCGCGACACTTGAAAGATCTATCGACACGGTTCGTCTGTCTCCAGACCAAATTGACCATCTCTTCGAACAGTAGGTGGTTCGGCGAGCCAGCCTTCCTGACGTACCAGGCTGATTGTCTGACGGAAAATAGATACTTCTTCCGATATCACAAATATGTTGAGATTCTTGACCCTACTGCCTCACCAGACCGATATTACCAGGAATCCCCCCTACTGTTCTGGACCGTGATTGCAATTTCTGCTCGCCGTTACGCCGAAGATCTGTCCCTACTATCCTCCCTCTCTGCATCGGTAACAGGGTTAATGTGGTCCGTGATCGCAGTCCGTCCTCACTCCTTGGAGACAATCCAGGCTCTTGTCCTGCAAATCACCTGGCCATTGCCGACGTCATCGCCATTCACGGAGAACATTTATATCCTTAGCGGCATAGCAATTCAAGCGGCCATGCAACTAGGTCTTCATCAGCCCGAAATAATCCAAGACTTCTCGAGGACAAAGTCTGTTCTGTCACAACAGGAGATACATGAGCGGATCAATGTCTGGGCAGCTTGCAACATTGCTGCACAAACGTCAGTTTGATTGCCTTGTAGTGACAGAACCTGCAGAGAGCTGATTGTCAGCAGTACTGCTACTAGCCTTGGCTATCAACCCATTCGTCCGTTTGACTGGCTTGTCGACCGATGTTGTCAGGCCAACACCATTTATTCACCGTCCGAGCGTCTCAGACATAGCCTTATGATCCAGAGGTTCTCAAACAAGATCGAGACCCTGATATCCAACAACGTCATGCGTATCCCGACCGATCAACGCGGACATAATCAGTGCACACTGATCAGCATGCTCGAGGGGGATCTGGACGAGCTCAATACGCAGCTTCGACACGAAATAAGTGGTAATGCATTCCTTTTTCCCATCTGACATCTGCTGACTCTGCTGGCCAGCCGATAACGAAGTCTACATCACAGGTGTTCGCCTCCAATTAGGTTTGCTTTGGTTTTTCGAGCAGGTAGGTGGCCGACTACGCCGCGAAGGTCTACTGGCGGCGTTTTCAAGCGCCTTGGATGTCATCTCAAAGATATCCGAGGCCGACAGCACGTCGGACCTGCTTTCCTTCGCACCTGCTCAGATCTACCATCTGTTGAATCTAGCATGCTTCACCATCACCAAGCTGCTCAACTCCGGCCTTGCCCAATACTTGGATTTTGAGGAAGGTAAGCGCTCGTTCAACAGCGCCGTCGCCTGCCTCCGACGCGCATCGGTCGCCAACAACGACGTTCCTGGCAGGTCTACTGAGGTCCTCACCAAGCTGTGGCGAGGAGTGGAGGGAGCCTCGAGTACTGCCCATGGAGAAGAGCCGGTGCTTAGAATTCGAAGCCGAGGAAGTGCCAGCGTGCTTCACGATGAGACGTGGAGGTTCAGAGAACAGTATTTTGGTCAAGCAAATGCATACCCGACCCCGTCGGTGGGAGGAAGTGAAGCAAACCATTCCGCCAGTGAGATGAATATTGGCTGCATCGACGTCGATCTGGGCTGGTCTTGGGGTTTTGACATCGGCACGGCGCAAGATAAATGAGCGAACTATTACCGACCATTCTGGCTCGTCGGTGGATACTGACGCAGATGGGGCCTTGGACTAGGCTCTGAGACCAAACATTGAAAACAATGCGGAAACTGAGTCGATTGAATTGATAACGATCTATCTGGTATATCAGGATTGGTCCCAGAAAAGATTTTGGTTAGTTTAACCGCCTGCAGTCTCCTCATCGTCTACAAGATATGGCTTTCCCACTCTTATTTGACCCTGTCCCCCACTACTTCTCCGTTGTAGATAGGGTGCCGAAATGCTTTACATGACGACGACTGATCCTCCTTTCTGAGGTTCTACGACAATCACTCTAGGGGCTGCAAATGTACATATTCCAGAAATAAACCGTGACGCTGCAGCCCAAGCAGCTGCGCAGCAAGATTGGGATTAACAGTGTATCAACTGACTTTCTGTAAATCTTCGATGATGTTGGGTAGGCACATGCCGTGGGCTCCATCAGTCTACATCAATGAAGCAGCCTTATAGTCGTCGAGGAGCAGAACCTGTCTAATACGAACGAATCCCAGCCCAAGGCTGATCGAGATAGTATGACGAATCCCTGTCCTCAGCTTCCCTCGTGGAAAATCCGTTGCCCAGGTATTGAAACCGGCTAATCGTCCAGTACGAGAACTCGTAATCCTCATATCTTGGATCATCCAGCACATGGAACCAATGAATGCGGCTTCCAGGATGGAGGCCTACGACCGGCCCATCCGTCATGCCGTTCTTATACCAGCTGCGACATTTGGCGGACCACACGGTGCGCTCCATGAACGCGGAGATATGCTCGTTAAAATCCCGAACAGCATCAGCCTTGGGCACGAAGGTCTTGGTGTTCTGAGTCTGCATCTTCTGGAGCATGTTGATCATGTACTTGGCTGCGTGCTCGGCAATGGGCACCACTGAACCGTGACCGATCGGGCAGTTAGGCCCTAGAAAGTCTGTGCGCCGTCAAGGGTCAGTGGCGGGGGGGAAGTCGCTTTGGAAAAGGGGGAGAAAAGAGGACTAGCCCTTACCAAAGTAGTTTGGAAAGAGCTCCACCGCCAGCGAAAGATATGCCTGTGGCAGTCCCTCGGTCCAGTGTTGCTCTAGCGAGACGCCTCCTCTACCCATGATGGGAAATCTCGGGCGGAAAGAGACATCAAAGCCCGTGGCGCATACCAGAGCGTCGAACTCGACGTGTTCCCCGGTCGAAAGGATCATACTTGTCTTGGTGATGCGTTCGATTGCATCTGTCACGATCATCATATTCGGCGCAACCAATGCCTCCAGGTACGCATTGCCCGGGTAGGAGCGACGGCATCCCACAGGAAAATCCGGGATCAGAGTTTTCACCAAGCGCGCGTCCTTCTGGACTCGCATCTCCATCTCGGTTTTTGAAAAGTCTTTTGCTGCGGCCTGCTCGGGCGTGTCCTTCAGGAGCTATTTCAAAAGGTCAAAATTCATCAGAGAGGATAACGAAAATAACCAAATGCTCTCACAATATTGAACCGTCGGTTCAATTCTGACTTCATGTCTTTGCGGTAGTCGAGATATGCCTTGCGGCCTTCGAATAACCACTTTCTCTGAGTCTCATCATCTAATTGATTATAAGACTTTGTCCTGGGATCGAAAGTAGAAGCATTGTCCCCGGTCACAGGTAAAATTGGCCCCTCCTGGACCAGCAAACTTTTGTGCATACCCCGCAGTGATCCAGGTTGGACTGCTGATGAAAGTTATCAGACTCTTCACATCTTTTTTTGTTTGTCGTTAGCAAGCCTCTGAATGAGAGGGTTTTATTACTTACGGGGCTGAAGAGCTGGGATGATCTGTACGCCTGAAGATCCAGATCCAATAACAGCCACAGTGTTTCCCCGCATATCGTACGCAACGTCCCAACATGCCGAATGCATGAGCTTGCCTTCAAAGTCGTGGAGTCCGGCTATGTCAGGCCATTTCCAATGGCTTGATCGTCTGCATCAACTTGTGGAACCCTGCAAAATCGGGGATGTGTTGGGCACGGGCTCACTTGAGAATTCACGGAGCATTGATAAGGGCATGAGACCAATTGTGAAGACGATTGCCATTGACAAGATCCCGAATCTCGATATTCCAGACCCCCGCGGCTTCGTCCCATTCAGCGCCGACTATCGCATGGTTGAGTCTGATGTTTCTGGGCATCGCTAGGATTCAGATACTCACAATTTGGTCCAGTTGGGGTTCGGCGCCCAGCTGAACTGATAGTTTACCGATGGCAAATCGCACGTGCAACCGGGGTATCTAGGAGTCGAAAAGGGGACCACAGTAAGCGAACTCAAGACGGCCCATGAAAATCAATGGCTTTCTGGCAAATGAACTCCAGCATTTTTCTCAACGGACCTGTTTTCAAACCAAGTGCCTCCAAGCTAATTTTCCAAATATAACTATAAAAGTTGTTACTATAGTTGGAACACCATCATATACATCTGGAGGTCATCAATGAAATGGTGCTGCACCTATTTTAAATAAAAGTCCTACCACCTCAGGATTCTTTTCGTAAACCACATACTCGACGTTTTCCATATGAGTGTCAATCTGACGGGCCATGTTCAATCCACTTGCTCCCGCTCCGACCACGACGACGCGAATCGCGCGAGGCTGTCCTAGCGGAGTCTCGGAGATTGTGTATGGCTGTTCTTTCGACCCGTTTGTCGCTGGCTTGTGTATGCCGTTGAAAAGCTGACTCTCATTCATGCCGTCTCCTCGGTGCGTGCTATGCTTTCCTTCATCTCAAAGCAGATTTCGCAACTGTGATGAGGTATTCAACGCCGGCGTGCGTGGTTCATATCAAAACAACAAACCGTTAACATTATACTAACTGACCTGCCCATCCTATAGTACTTGGTATACTTTACGAGGAACATCTGTAGCCTATCACGGTTCACATTCCAACGCCTGGTTGCATATGGTTAAGCCGGATTCCCCACAATTTCCTTCGGCCGAAGGCTTTTCGCTTCTTTTCCGACGCCCGAAATCGGGAGCCGAGATTTTGCCTGGCGAGGCCGCATTCAGTCACACACACCCGCAGCTGATTGAGATTGAGAGTACCGTCTTATGACTGACATGACCGGCGCCCATAATCACCAATCGCCAGATGTTCCGCTCTTGAACTCTGGCACTGACCCTTCTGCCCTGTTCACCTGCAATCCCCTTCGCGAAGCCTCGTGGCTTGGGCCTGTACAGGCTCGGCGCTATGGATCTGTCGCGGTACTGAAAGCCTGCTGGCCTGGCATCGCCATTAGGCGTTATCATTACCACTGCATGATGCGGTCTCAATGCCTAGCAATGCCTGCGCTACAAATGGACGTCGTCCTCCTCGTTGCACCAGGCAACATCCTACCACAAACATTCTACACCAAGGCTACATAGATCCCAGAGGCTTGCACTCTTTAGAAAATTGGCCCAAGATGACTTCTGCTCTTTCGACCTCACATCCTACACGGCCATGATAAGGGTCTGTATGAAAGCGACAACTAATCAACGGCCTCGTGCACTCCGTGAATCCATCTCCGCTTGTGTACTTCCAACAAAAGATGTCCACGCCGCCACCCCTCCCTCAGGCGGTGGTCCTCGGCCATGCCACGGTTGCGAAATCCTCAATATCCTGCAACAACAGCTCAGGGACTTCGGTCGCTGCGAAATGACCCCCCTACAGATATTGCTTCGTTAGTTTACTTTTGGGTTTCTCTTCTTGCACAATCTTCAGTGGCCCCCACTGTGAACAAAACAACTCACCTTCGAATGCGAACGCGAGAATATCAAGTCGCCCGTCGTGGCAACCCAGCTGACCGGCGCCGGCGCCACCTCTTTCGGAAAATACGAGTACCCGAGCGGTTTCGCCAGGTGCCAACGCGGATCCCCATGTCCCCCGGGATTTTCGGGATGTGTTCTCTTTTCAATCGCGTCTCTGTCAGCGCGGTCTCTTGAAAGAAAACCTCTTTTGGCCTCTATCGTACCGCGCGATATGTGTATAGTGATGTCGGTAGAGTCTCCGTCAGCCAGTAGAGTGTGACTGACTCCAATATCGTATCGATCGGAATATCCTCTCCTGACCATTCGAGAAATTTCTCACCGATCCTTTATCCGGTCAGTGAAGGGACTTTTTGCAGGAGAGGTCGAAGTGAAAAGCATACCACGCCAGCATTGCCAAGGGATTGCTCGTAAGGACTAGGGCGATCGTGCTGGGTCTTGTAGCATGAGTAACGGCATATCCTCGCCCAGAATTGTTGAAAACAGCCATGCGCTCCAGACCCTCTCGTTCCGTTTCAGTCAATTGCGTGGAACCTTTCAGCTGAGCGGGTTCGTTCATTGCGCAAAAGTTTACTTGCGCACACAATGGTCAAAAGCCGAATTGCAACGACCTGATGGTAAGACTCACGATGAATTGCTAGAGATTGTAGGCTGTCAGTCTGAGTGAGAACCGTCCCAAAGCATCATCGTTGACAGACCTTTGCAACCTTCATACCTCTTTGCTAGGATTCTTGCAATCTTACTCCCGACATCGCCTCCTTGGGCAATGTATCCGGAGCCGAATCCAAGCTCCTCCATCAAGGAATGCAACAGCTCTGCGGCCTCCAGCAAAGTGAAGTCTCGATCGAGAGGAGGACGTGATGAAAAGCCGTACCCAGGCAGGGATGGCACGATTACATGGTATGGGAGAGTGTCAGGGGTATACTTGCTTTGTAGCAGGGCCAAAATGGGAAGAAATTCAAGAAAGCTCCCTGAGATCTCAACCATTAGATCCATCTTGCCTGGCGCCCCTCTCTCTCGAACGTGAAAATTCGTACCTGGCCACCCGTGCAGCAACAACAGTGGGATTGCATCCGGCTTGTTTGAGAATAGTCCACAGAAATGGACGGTGCTGCAGCTGTCGTGCGCCAGCACCTGAACGGTAAAATGACGGAATTTATTGATTCCTGCCTCACAGCGCCTCCTTTACGTGCAGTCCACAGTTAGTGCCGAGAACCGTTCCAGACACTGGTGAGCGTCCCGATTTGACAAACCAGTCGAAATCCTCCCATTTTCTCTTCGCCTCCAGAAGCCACTGTCGAGACACCCCAAAGGTGCCGCCCTGGAAGGAATTCTCGTATGTTGGACCAGCAATTTTGGAGCACCGGATTAGAGTCTTTAATTCTTCGATGGCGTCGTCTGGGATGTGTATCTCCAAGGGAAGCAACACGCCCCAGTTTGGTCCCGCAGATGCAGAACTAGTCGCTGCTGGCGACATGTTGAACCCTTTGAGGAGCGTGTTCGGACGTGTGTTGATGCTTGACGGTGTACAAGTCCGGACTTTCTCAAATCGGACATCGGCAGAGACGTGTTCTTGTTTTATCCAGGCCTCATCTAGTCCCGTCCGATGGGGCTCTGGGTTTCGACCCACACAGATCCCAAGCCGACAACAAATTGGCCGACTCCGGATTTGCATCTGCAACATTCGTCAACATGACATCTTCACTGCATAACCCGATCAAAGCCCGATCGGCCTCCTCGCTCTCGTTCCAGATACTTCCTTGCTACTTCTGATTTGTATCGAATGGCTTCTGTGTCAAAGGTCCTTGGAGACAGTAACCGAAAGACTATGCATGATGCCGGCTCACGCTCGACCGAGAGTGTTTTTCGTGACAGGAGGTGCAAACGGGATCGGTCTCGATTTCGTGAAGCTCATGTACGATGAGGGAGCCCAAATAGCCGTCGCCGACCTTGCGAACCAGCGGTAAGCTTTCGACGCGTGGGTGACGTCTCTAAAGGAGCCAGAACGCCTGCACTTCCATGCCTCTGACGTGACGCAATGGGAGAGCATGAAATCCGCCTTTGAGATGACGGTGGTAGAGTTCGGCGCAATCAATGTCGTGGTCACCTGTGCAGGAATCATGGAGACAAAAGCTTTCTTCGACGTCCCAGCGACAGACAGCCAGACTGACGAGCCACCCGAAGAGCCTCTGGAAACACTCCGAGTGGTCGACGTCAACCTCAAGGGTACAATCATAGGTACCGTTGTACATCCATGCCGCAACTACCTTCGCGGGGCAGGGTGAGCACGACTAACTTCTCCCCAGCCCTGAAATTGGCATTTAACTTCATGAGATCGAATGCGCCTGATCCCTCGACCGGCTCCCGCGGATCGATCGTCTTCATCACCTCGCTTTCTGGATACTTCGGCGGCACGTCCGTAGTGGGATACGTAGCCTCAAAGCACGGCGTGGTAGGTCTCCTGCGATCTGCGCAAAAGACGGCCGAAGTGCTGGGCCTTCCATTGAACGCCATTGCGCCCATCCTCACCCCAATCCACATCACTCAATCATACACGGAAAAGTGGATGCAGAGGGGTTTACCATACTGCACCGCGTGGAATGTCGCGCTTCCATCGCACAGGTGGCCCAAAGACACCAGCAAATAGGGGCCTGCTTCGTGGTACGGATGCCATCCTTGGTCTCTCCATGCAACTTCTGTAATTATGCTGATGGCGAAACCTGGTAGGTTTTGGGCGAGACAACCAAAGAAATTGAAGGGCCCAGGGAAGAAATATTCTCTGCTTGGATGGGTCCCGAGATAATGGGCTTTATTGATTCGGGAAAGGGATTGTTCCAAGAAATGGGCGAGTATCCTTTGCCAGGTTCTCAGAGGCAACCCTCTTAGATAAAGACTCTTTGAGGACATTGATCAGCTTCACGCCAACATCACGACAGGAGATATATATCTATATCTATATATGTGCGTGTGCGTGTCCTATCTTTTCATACTCCATTGGTATAAGTGCTGGCACCTGCGGCAAGATCAAAATCTACTGCCTCCTGCATTCCACATACTCCGTAGATCTCTCCAGGACTCGGCACACCACCCTCGAGATACTTGATATCTCCAGTCTCCCTGAGCTCCTTGACAGCCTTCGTCACAGCACCGTAGACACTCTGGACAGCCAAGCCCGGGAAGATGATGATCCTGAACCCCATCTCTTGCGCCTCGGCCACTGATATCGACGGGGTGAGCCCACCATGCGCCATGTTCAACAACACCGGCGCCGGGTAGAGATCCTTGCAGACCTGCCTGGCCTCTTCTTTGGATCGGATGCCTTCGAGGAACGCGACATCCGCGCCAACGGCCAATGCTTTCCTGAGCCGATCGACCGCAGCATCATAGCCGAGCAACTGCATGGCATCGGTCCTCGCAATCACGACAATATCTCTTCCTGTTTGAGCTCGCATCTTGACCGCGGCCTTTATGCGGGAAAGGAAGACTTCTTCCTCGACAACCTGCTTGCCACGCAAATGGCCACAACGTTTGTTCATCACCTGGTCCTCCAAGTGCAGTGCTGCTACCCCGCCGGAAATGTAGGCAGAGACGGTTCGACCGACCATGAGTGGCCCTAGGCGGAGGGAAAAACACAAAAATTTGAGCTTGTCTTCTCCTGCTGCTCAGTACCTCTTTGTGATCACTCACCTCCATAGCCAGTGTCTGCATCGGCAATCAGTGGAATGTCCCTGTCGAGACCCGCAATCATCGAAGCATTGTCGCGCATATCGTTCAGCGTGGCGAGGCCTAGGTCGGGCAGTCCCAGACGCGACATTGTGGTCCCAGCACCTGTCTAACAAAAAAGGAAGCATATATTCCTTTAGCCCTGGGGACGAAATACATCAGGATAGTAGATGGTAGTGCCGGATCAAGGATTATAATTTACCATGTAGAGACATTCGAATCCGGCGGCCAGGGCGATGCGTGCTGTAAATCCATCATATACTCCGGGGCAGACAACGATGTGGCTTTCGTCTGTTAACAGTTGCCTCAACCTCGTGACACCGCCGCTGGCGGCTTGAATTTTCGATTTCGGGAACAAGGCTTCGTCTGTTGGCGCCATTCTGGTGTTTCAGTATGGAGCGGAAGAATATCGATCCATCAACGCCGCAACAGGGAGCTGGCATGCAGAACCCCGCCTCGTATAACACGAGAGATTTCCAGGGTTTAAGGCACGATATGCGTAAGCAGTGAAGGGTTTCGTGGACGCGCGGTGATTTTCGGCACCGTTGCAAAGAGTTGATCTTTGCATAGGGCGTCTGCCGATCCGGACCCGATACAATTCCCGAAAGCGGCTTTTGGAAGCGCGCCACCAAACCTCGATCAGGAAGTTGAAGCATTTGGGCGGCCACACCGGGCTTTATTTTGTCTTCAAATCGTGGTATCACTTACCGTACAAAGGCCGCACGACCGACCTGAGAAGAATGTATTCTTGCTGCTAGCGCAACCAGTTTTCGGATCCTCCAAAAAGCCCACCACATGATGGAGAATTCCACCAACAATTCCATACTGGTCTCGATCCCTCCTGGTCTGGAGGCGTGTCCAGTAGCACGGTTCCTGGCCGAGACTTTTAGAATCCTCCGGGGTTCCCGAAAGATAGAAATCAAAGTCACCGATGCTGCAAGCCCGGATGCGCACAAAATTCGTTCCAGGACTATCATCGAGGGCCTCCAAGAGCTGGCCTCAATCTTGGCAATCGCCGGTCATGGCCCGGAATCGGAAATGCTCGAGGTCGTGTTGGAAAGAGGCCTCGAACGCAAGGAACTGGGTGGCCTTGGCCTCAATCGCTCACAAGGACTGGGAGAAGGAGACATCAAGGAGCTTCTTTTTCTGGTCGAGGCATGGTTAGAGTCGCTCAACTCTCGGGAAAGGACGCGCGAAAGCGTTCAGACGCCACTGCAAACACGGCATGCCACTGTCAGGCCAATGACTCTGGCTGAAAAGATTCTTGTTCATCATGTGGCTGGTGGCGGTCCTGGTCGAGGTGTCCGGGAAGGAGACGTGATCACCGTGGCCGTCGATTGGGTGGTGACATCTGAAGCAGGTTGGTTTGTACGTCCCTTACCCCCCCAAACCCGTCTATTCCTTGAAGAAACTCATCGTTGTCTTGGGAAATCAGGCCATGAGTAAGACATTCGACGAAATGAAGGCGACAGAAATCTGGCGGAACGACAGGTTCTGGATTGCTGGCGACCATGTCGTGGATCCTAGGATCAATCACCTGCCCAACGTCAAGGCTCTGATCGAGGCATCGGAAAAGGCGAAGAACGACTTCAAGCTCACCGAGTATCAGGGCATGAATGTAAAATTCCGAGAACTTTCCCTCCTTAAATGCTTTGCTGATGGCGCTAACTCGTGCCTAGTTCACAATCATGCACACCGAGTTTGTGCGAGAGAGAGCAGAGCCAGGGATGATCGTGATTGGTGCTGATTCTCACACATGCTCGGCTGGAGCGGTCGGCTGCCTTGCAATTGGACTGGGAGTGGCCGATGTCATGATTCCTTTGGTGACTGGACAAACTTGGTTTAAGGTCCCTGAGTCGATCCTTATCAACTTTGTTGGTGCGCCGCGGTTCGGGGTCGGCGGCAAGGACGTTATCCTCCATATCCTCGGGGAACTGAAACGCAACACAGTTGCGGCGGACAGAATCGTTGAGTTTTGCGGGCCGGGGGCTCGATTCTTGTCGATCGATGCCAGGTTTGCGATCTGTAACATGTGCACAGTAAGCGTCTAGCGGAAGACATGAAGTTTTGCTGACTCTCTCTCTTTGTAGGAGTTTGGTGCAATCACAGGTGTCTTTGTCCCCGATGAAATCACCTTGGACTATGTTTCTCGACGAAGGAGGAAGAGAAACAAGTCGAACTCGGTGCATTTCCGACCAGATGAGGGAGCTGTTTACTCTGCCAAGTTCGAGATTGATCTCGCTGCCGTACAGCACACCATAGCGCTGTATCCCAGTCCAGACAACGTGGTGCCGATAGGTGAGCGTCGCGACATGGTCTTCGATGGTGTTTTCCTTGGGGCATGCACCACCACTGAGGAAGACCTGGTGCTCGCTGCTCGTGTACTGCAAGCCGGCCTGAGAAGAGGCCTGAAACCTGTCCGTCGTGGCAAAAGGCATGTTGTGCCTGGATCCTTGCCGATCATGGACAAGCTGCAAAGGCTTGGTTTGCTGGAAATTTATGAAGCCGCCGGATTCACGAGAGGCGTACCAGGATGCAGCTTTTGCGTTGGAATGGGCGCTGATAAAGCTGGACCGGGCGAAACCTGGCTCAGTTCACAAAACAGAAACTTTAAAAATCGCATGGGCCCAGGTGAGAGAAGTTTTCCACCCGACTGTGGGAAGTCGTCTCACAGGCATAAAAGGGTCTTTCGGAAACATCACATCAGCCGCGGTGGTGGCAGCATCGTCGTTCAGCATGAGCTTGACTGACCCGGCACCTCTCCTTGACGACATCGAGCGTGGCATGGATCAGGAGGGTCTTCGACGTGTGGAGGGAATGGAGTTTCCAACTGTCATCTACCAAGAACCCTCGGTTGGCCCGACTTGCAACCAAGGAAATGCCGCGAGCTTGAGTGTAAGCCCGGTGGCCAGTTCAGAAGACGAGGTTGAACAGCGGAGCGACGTTGTCAAAAGCCGCATCATCCGGCTGGGGGATTTTGTGGACACTGACGCGGTACGCTTAAAGAAATTTGTGAAAAGGCCCAAATAAACCCGTCCAAGGCTGACTAAAGGTAAAGCTAGCGCCCGCCGAGTACCTGATGAGCGCAAAGGACGACGAGGAGCTTGGAGATCACTGTATGGAGCACACATACCCGGAATTTCGAGACCGGGTTCGCGGCGGGCAGCAAGTTGTGGTTGGTGGCCACGCGTTTGGCTGTGGTTCGTCAAGGGAACAGGCAGTAAGGGCGTTGAAAGGTATTGTTCCTCTTCCACGAAGTGGCCATTTCGGTACTCGGGAAACTAACACCTTCAAGGCCTTGGAGTCCAGGTTGTAATTGCCAGATCCTTCAGCTTCATATATGGCCGCAACCAACCATCTTTGGGGCTGCTCGGAATCACTCTTGCGGACGACACGTTTTACGCCCTGGCAAAAGACAACGAATCGATCGAGGTTGACATAAAACGTCGAGTGGTCAAGGTGTCGGATACGGAATTCCCCTTCGTCTTGACAGACATCGAGTATCAGCTTACCATCAACAAGGGCTTACAAGAGATGTACAAGGTGTACGGGAAGGACATCTGGAAACAGGCCACGGCCGAAGCATCGCCTGCGAGACAAATGAGTGTTTCGATTGGCGTGGAACGAGCATCCAGCCATATTGGTGGCGGAGGAGAAGCTTTGGCATGGTGATGGTTGAAGCTCAGGCCAACCCAACGAAGTATCGTTGGAGAGCTGTGGAAGCGGAATGCGGTCGGCGACGATGAGCATGTTTGGGAGAAACAATGAATGGATGTTGTGGCTCAACTTCGGCGTTGCGGTGGTAACCAACGCGACGCGCTGAGCCATCGCACGCTGCTCGCGTAGGCACGTGACTGCACCCTATGTCATTGCTACTGGAACTGCTCTCGGTAGACCTTCCATATAGTCGGGACCTTTTACAGTGGTCTTGGCAATATCTAGGCATGCCTATAAGGTCGATTTAGTTAAGAGCTCTAAGCAAATTTAGTTAAAGTTTTCGTTAAACGACCCCCCAAGTTCAATGCCCAGAAACAGGCGCCAGAAGCACTGACTGAAGGGGAGATAGAACCATGACAATGCTTTGAAATCCAGATTTCTCCGCATGAGCAGCAACGGTATAGATCACGGTTTTCCTTCAAGCCTATGCTATGATATGCTATGCTACCTCCAACAACACCGAACGGATCTCAACCCAGATGATTACCAAAAATGCTTCAGTTGAAACAGTACTCGTCAAAGCAGGCCGCACACCCGCCTGGCAGTGTCTCGCCACTCTTCTTCATGATTCCACACCCCAGACAAAGCGGCCAGTTTGCCTCGCCACCACAATTGGCAGTCTGAACACCATTCGCAATCATCGCATCAGTTTGATTGGCATAGTATTGAATCTTGGTGGTCGACGTCCCGCTGTCGAAGGTGTAGTTGTAGTTCGGGATAAAGATGATGGTGAGGGTGTCGTTGCTGTTGCATCCAAAGAATGTTGGCCTTTGATTCAGTGACTCTGACACAAATGTGGCGGGAGGGGGAATGACAGGCATTCTGGTCAAGCCCGCGGCTGTAGCAGCTTGGTAGGTGTGATAGATTTCGGAGCCGTTCGGGAAGTTGCCTGCGGTGTCGGCTGAGTTGTCGTTGACGATGAGCACGTCGACGTTCTCTCGGTGGAGGAATGGCCAGATTGGATTTCCTTGAAAAGCGACCCCAACACCACCGTCGACGAGTTCCAACGTGGGTTGTGCCGACACGAGGGATGACGAAGGAAAATTGTGGAATGGATTCGGGTAGAGACCGAATACTCCGCTTTCAGGGACGCCTGGCTGGCCAGGAGCCGCGAGGGCGGCCAAGTCTTCCACCAGAGTATTAGAGCTGGTACCGGTGCTGTTCACTGCCGGAATCGGACTGCATATTGACCCATACACGTTTGAAGACGTGCCAAGCACATAGCCGAGCTGGTCGTAGTTGGTGATGCAGCTGCCGTTTGGCTGACCGTTGGAGAAAGATGTGCCCAGGTATTCGGAGACGACGAACGCATTCACTCCGTCGTCCCAAGAGCCGAACTCGTAGGGGTGGAACTCGTATTGTGTTGCGTTCGCTTGCGGAATGCATACCCCATTGATGGTCCGGTCGGATCCCAGGGACGTTATGAGCGGATAGGGAGCGTTGTGAGACGTGAAATTTGATAATGAAGCGATGCCTGACAATGTGTCCGCCACGCCACCATCTGCCCCATGAAGTAGTGCGTACGAGAGGAGACGGCCCCACGGGTCGATGACGGTTGTTTGAAAGCCAGCTGCACGCTTTGCCTGGATATCAGCTTCCACGGCAGAGTAGATTGGAGCGGCCTGAGGCGAGAGCAGTATCTCAGGAGCCAAGAGACTGTCTTGAATCGTCGTGTTCCAGAGATTCGATTGCAGAGAACTGATGGTTGGGAAGTTGTTGCCAGCGATGGATGACAGTAACCAGGAGCCGCCTGAAAGACCCGCATGGTACGTGAGAGCTTGGTAGATGCCACTGACGCCAGTCTGGTTCGCTTCACGACTGTCAAAGCCTTTGACGATTCCAGCACCGGCAAGCATGGCGCGGTAACCGCCACCACTGGAGGCCAATGCCAGGACGGGTGCTTTTCCTGTACCCGATCCACCCCAGTCACTCCAGCCGCCATGACCGCCCCAACTGCCTTGACCAGCCTCAAAGGACTCGTCTACGTTCTTGAGCCATGTCCCTAGAGCTTGAGAAGCCTTTTGATATCTTTGAGCAATGTAACTCGCCTCGGAATCAGAAATGCCCGTGGCTGTTCGAACAAGTTGTGTTGAAGGGCAGGTTGCTGGGTATGGGGCGTAACCAGAAACAGCTCGTGGTGTCGGTGAAGATGTACTCAGAGCAATGTAGGACAACAAAGAAGCGGCGATTTTCAATGACGACACCATTCTTGCAGCGGTAGCTGGAAACGCACTGGTACTGTCGAGACGTAGCCTGGGGCTCAACGACGAGACGACGACCTTGTTGGACACTGAGATGCTTCCGTACACATGGCGTTACCACAGAGGAAGCCTGAGCTTGAGTTTTTATAAAGCCCTTTACCGCCCTGGCCCTCAGCCGCTCGCGCTACTAGCTTCATGTAGAAGGTGATGGCACTGGTAGAGCTGTGCCAAGGCAAATTGAGGTACGGTAGGCAGCGCGAGGCAGCTAGGACGTACCTGGAGATGCAAACGAAGTGCGGGGGCGAATTGGAGGGCTGAGCAGCACAAGAGCGGTTCCACGCCCAATGATATGAGCGGGGAAAAGCCAACACGCCATTAAACAGGATTCATGACGATATGATGCAGCCAAAAGCGAGGCCTAGGTATATTTGAGGCGTAGCACTCGTAGATTGGTGACGTGGCGCCATGTGTGCGTTGCCTCACCTCCGGAGTGTTGCAATTGCGGCACCCCTTACCGAGTACTCGTGGGAAACAGATATTATACGAGGCTGCCACTTAAAGTTGACGATAAAAGTATGACAGGATGAGCAGTCGGAGATATCATCCGCAATTAGATTGTTGGAGAATAAGCGTGAAGTAGGTAGAAGAGCATGGGCTGGAAAAAAGCTGAGGCGTGGGTAAGCGGAATGCGGAGGCTGGGGCACCCATGGGGGTTTCGCGGCGGGCCGCAAATCTTCCGGGCTCCGAGTACGAGGTACGAGGTACTGAGTGTTATGTCGGAACAAACTTTTTCCAAGCTTCTTCACCTGCACTTTTGGGATCGCCTTGGCAGGTACCGAGTACTGGGTATCAAGGTCAGATAGATATCTACCTAGGTAGTAGAGAGAACGTTCCGAGGATGGGGCGAGATACATTCTCATCACCGCTAGTAGATGGTCGGGGAGCTGTACCTACCACTGGCAGTGACGGCAGAGACGGGGTGCCTGACTGAGGCGGACATTCCAAGGTTCATTTTCAGGCCACCCACTTGAATTCGGCCACTGCAGGGTTTGTGGCGAAGACCTTGAGGCTGATTTGCACTGTTGCCATCTGGATACTTACGCTCCACCGTTTTGAGGTTATCTTGGGCAAATGACCTCCCGTATTATGGGGAGTGACCGTGGCGCCTTCACGTGAGTCGGGGCCAGTGTCGGCACATATACTAATATTTATGCACAACATACGTGCAGCAGCACACGCAGCAAGACGGAATCACAGGATCAACTATGCCAACTACAGTATGATTAGATTACCGAGGCGATGCTGAGTCTACGAATAAGCGTGGGCGAGCAATTGCCTAGGGCTTCGACCCCTTGTAGTCTGCGTTTGGAGGCGCCTATTGTCTACCGTAGCATCTTGCACACCGCTTCGCCGCGCACGGAGGCCCAGGCCACAAGCCGCCCATTTTTCAGCAAACTTGAAAGTGATCCTTTTCATTGCAAGATATCTTGGCGGATTAGGTGTCAACATCTGGGTAAATCGTCATCATCTGATAGCAGTGATGATTATGCAAAGTGTCTCATGGAAGTATTCTTTGGAAAGACTGGTGATACTAATAAAGTGTTGTGTCTGATCTGTGAACCCGATTTGAACTGGGTACCTAGGTAGTGGGGTGTTCCAGGCGCCTTAGGCGAAGTGTAGGGGCCTTGTAGGCCATGTAGGTACCTACCTAGGCACTGCAGTCAACTAACTCTTGGTGGCCTCGGCCCTGGACCCCGGCTGGTCTTCGGCCAGAACGCCCTTGTGGTGCCCCCAGCCACAACATTCTGTCCAATGCCCAGCAGCTGCGTGGTTCTCGCGGCATTCATCCACAACTAATGCCATCCCCAGGCCACGCGCGTGCACCGAAGCAAACCCTCCTCTAATAATCCATCCCCCTATCGACAGCCAAGCGCAGGCACACAGGCAGGCAGAAAGTCGCAAAAGCATCGCTCTCAGCCGTCCTTGGGCGATATCTCCGCCCCTAGAAGCCACCCACAAACCACACCACAAGAGCCTCCCACCCCGTTCACACCATCATATGCCATCTCCGTGCGGTCCACACGGGCACGGTCACGGGTGTGGGCACGGGTGTAACAACAAAGAGTCACCTGGACAGACTCTTGGGATTGCAGTAATGCGGCGATGCAAGGAACCCTTGGGAAATCCTCGCTGGGCCTTGTGGTAGGCGTGCCGAGGTACTACAGCATGTACCTACCTAGGTACCTTAGGCTGGTACGATAGGGAAGGGCAGCACCTGGGACACCAGCCAAGGCCGCGACCTCAGGCTCCCAACGCCCGCAAAGGCCCCAATCCCCCCGCCCTGCCATAGGCGGGTAAGCACCCCCTGCTGCCTCATCAGTCCTTGGAAGGGGGTTGGTCCCTGCCAACACCGCATTCCTTGACAGAGATTGTTTTCTTTTTGCGTGCTGTCTCATCTTGTCCAACATTCAACACTTCTCCATCAGACAGGATTTCCCACGCACTGTTTACAGCAGAAGAGCATGATGTGCGGTGAGTTAACCGGACCCTATACCGCTGACCTCGCCGCCATGTGCCGTGGGCGCCTCCGTCCTCCTTGCTCTTAATCAGGCCCTCACAACCTGCGACGTCGTGACCTCACCTCTCCAAGAAACTCGTCACAGACATTCGGATGCACTGCTTCCAGAACCAGATCAAGTCGGATGAGCTTAGCCTGGGGCAGAGTTCGGCTCTACCACAGGTTTTGGTCTGCGGACTCGAGCCTATCCAAACCTTTTAGACCTTGGCAAAAGCAGGTCCCCTTGGTTCCAGAACACCCTTTTCTTCAAATGCCTCATACTCGTACCGCTTGATCTGTTCTTCATCATCTTTTCGATTCCCGAGCTCTTATTGACGCATATCTCGAACGGTTCAACAAGCAATGGCCTCCTCCGAGAACCCGACATCGAAACAAGGTCAGGGCTTCAGCCAAGACGAGATCGATCGTCCCAAGCGCGGGTCAATCTTCGAGCCACTCCCGGTCTCCGAAAAAAGTACAGTGTTTGCCGCCACCGATCCGGCTTGCGTTGAAGCTCTGGACTTCATCGGCTTCCACCATATCGAGACGGGCGGTTACCATCATCGACAGCCGCCTCACCACCAACCGGCGGCAGATGGACAATCTGGAGGTCGTTCTGGATGACGGAAAAGGACGGCAAAGGTCGCCTTTATTCGCTTGGGCGTTTACCCCATACATCTGACCTTGTTCGGTCGGAATCCTGTTCCTTCATCGTCAGCACTAGCCCATGAAGGCTCTTCTGCAGTGACGGGAACCCGTGCACAAACCAGTGCGGGAAAGATGAGACTGGAGACCTCCTCTTTGATACGGGGCTGTCAGTTACACCACTGCGCGCTTCACATGGATTTGATAGCCGGAGGGAGCCGCACACTAAGCAGGAGAATGGCCCTTTCTGTCAGAAGTCCCACGCGTGGAAAATTGTGTCGGGTATGGGTGTCGGGTCATTCAGTGGAGGAGGTACATAAGGTTGTCTGAGGGTTGAGTGCTTGGTTGGAGAGATCTTGTCCCGACGTATCGACATCTGATGCCGTTTGGAGTGCTCTGTATTGGCTGTGGCGGGTTGCAGCCAGATAGAGGCGTGCGAGCCACGAGGAGGATGTAGAAGCGGACAGCACAACATTTTCAAATGAATATCCCCCTTTTTCGTACAAACCCGCAGTATTATCAGGGAAAAGCTCCATCCTACCGTGTTTCCATCATCCTCCGCCACCTGATTGCCACGTGTTCCCGACCTTTTCGGGCAAACATCAACCTCCGTGATGCCCACCCTTCATAGGAATAATACCTCTCCGGTCGAGAGCGGTGGAAGAAGTCATCAGACGTTACACGGAATGACTTTCGGAATACCCTGTGTGCCCCCAAAGCGTGTCCGCGGCAATGTTTGAGACAGGACGGGCAGAAAACAGAGCCAGGAGGCCGCGACGGCCCATCCGGTCGTGTCTTCAGCCTCGCGAGAGTGAGCTCGTTGGTGATGGCGTCAAAATCGAAAGTGAGGACGGCACAGGTCCGCTATTTGATCAGCCCTGGCCGCCGCTCTCGATCTTCGCAGCAAGGGCTTGTATGCCAAAGCACCAACTGCTTTCTTGTCCTCTTGTTCACGATCCCACGCGGAAGTAATTGTAAAGCGAGAGGCCAGGGGCATTAAACCAATGATGGTGGCGACGTCCTCGCTCTTGATACTGGCAGCTCACAGTCCTTGAAGTAACCTGAAACCCATTGACAGGGAAACACAAGTCCGTCCAAAGTGCATGTCGAGCGAGGCACGGAACGCAGACGCGAAAGTTACACGGCAGCTCGAGGGAGAAGAACGGCTTCGATCTGATCGCCACATCCCTGGCTCGATCGAAAGAAAACGGAGGAGGAGGATCGAGTTCCAAGGCGGAAGGAGTCAGGTCGATATTGGATTGAGGGGCAGCCGGATGCAGGGTCGGAGGGCCTCCAGATCGGCCCAGTCTTGCAACGAGGCCAAGACGGAGAGGTAGCGTTGCTTCCAGATTGTGGAATTCAGGCTGGCAGGGGAGGGGAGTGTGGTCTCGAGGACCTTGTTGATGGCGATGCCGTTCATGAGATTGTTTATCTCAGGGCGAAAAGCGAGCTGGTAAAACTGCGCCTTCATACTAGTTCCGAAACGGCTTAGTGTGCTTGGGGCGCCGAGTAAGCACCTAGTGTTGCACTAACGGCACTAGTAGCATTAGCTTTGAGCTAGTGGAGCTGGCGCAGCTGCCAAGGCAATGTAATGACAAACGCGCTAGCTGTGAAATTCATCATGCTCTGCCAATCGTCTCACAATTCTCCTGAAAGCGCAGAGTTCTCTCCGTCCATCTAGTCAGCCACCTTCAGCAATGTCATCATTCTCGACTTGGGCTGTTATTTCCTCCGATGGCACATCCTAAGGCAAAAGAGAGACGCCGTCCTCCCCAGAGCTTTGCACCAGGGCCCGCTAGATCTG